CTGCTATGTTGTTTTCCACTTGTGATGTGAATTGGTCCTTTGGAGCAATACCCCAAATGACGTGGTGTACACTTTCATTGGGATTTTGCGTTGAGCAGCTTTCACACCCAGCAAGGAAATTCTTATTTCCAAGTTTGTCGAATACTGGTTTAATGACCTTGACAACTGCAGGAGGGAGAGGGTCCTTTATTGGTCGGTGGGTCTTTGTTTTCAGGGCTAGATCTCGTTGGAAGCTACACCATGAATTTGGACCAGTTGGACAACATTGGTGTTGAGGTTTGTTCTCTGTACTGGAATAATGTAGCAATATTGCCTGGGTTGCATTTGACATTGCTGAGGAAGAACCTTTATTTTGTCGAATGCAGAGCCCATAAAAGCTCTGTATTGTGTCAATTCGTGCTATTGTGAGCCTGCCTGCCCCTCCAAGACACTTGCCATCTTCTAGTTTTCTCCCTGATAGTAATTTACAATAATAAATAGTTTTAAAAAGTATATGTAGTACACATTTATGTCAGTATATGTTTTGTAAAAAAATGAAGGAATGCCAGAGCTGTTGTTGGACAGAGGGGTGGGAACAAGTGGAAATTTAGGTAGGCTAAGGGGGCACAGTTGCTCCTCCCCCCTGTACCACCTCTCTGGTATTCCTAATAATATTTTATGTAATCACCTTTATAATCTCTTACAAGTGATCGAAGATTAGAACCCATTCGTTTAGTAACATGAGATATACAGTCGACCTTTGGAACATACACGGTGGGTCCGTAGGGTTTCTCAACACAGACCTTACTGTAGGAACTGCTGTCTCCATCTCCAATAAATGGATTGTATCTTATGTTATGCTTTTTTTCTGATCGAGAGTATAGTCTCAGCACACCAGAAGCTTCCATTGCCTGTAATTAATAATAAGGCAACATAACCCAATTATTTTCGTGTACAAATAGAACTATATTGTAAATTGTTTTGTTTACCTGTGCGCTTCCATCGTGATTCTTTTCACAACCTGGCTCGTTTTTTATGTACCAGTCCAAATAATCCAACTTGGAAATTGTGCCCTGCGCATGTTTATCCTCCATGGCTTTGCATCCAGGACAAGAACTTGTCATAAATAGTCAACTACTTTGCCGGTATCCTCCGATACGGCCGCTACAACCCCGTCCCTGGCAGACCATCCCCTACTACTCCACGAGCAGTCGAAACTAGTGCCAACATCGACAAGTTTTTGATATAGTTCCTCGTCCGGACACTCGGGAAGCTTCCACAATCTCGCATAAACTGTTTGACTTCTAGCGCGGCATCTTTCATGCTGTTTTCTGTCAGAACTTCAAGTTTATCTCTAACCACTTTTGTGTGTTTGTCCCATGTATATACGGGCGAAGGAATATCTAGAATTGCGAAACATTTTTCTGCTGCCGTTCTCCCTTTACCAATGGCACGAAAAGCAACAACAGATGATACATTTATAGTAGTATTACCCCCCCCATATGGGCCCACCCGCAGAGCCGGGCGGGCCCATATGGTGGGGAAAAGGCGGGAAAAATTGCCTGAGTGGAAACTCCCTAAAATCAGGTGGAGCTAGAGAAACAAGAGGAGGTGTATAATATGAAGTAGTAGAGCTCCGCTCAATAGGACAACCTCCATCCCCAATACCCACCACCTTATAGAGCCATTACTTAAATAGAGATAAGTATGACGTCACAAGTACGTACAGATGACGTCATGAGAAAAGCTAGAGAAACAAGAAGAGGTGTGACGAATTTTAGGGAGGTTGTTTTATGACGTACATTTTTCCCCCCGTTTTTTTTAGGTCCGGAAGTGACGTCATGCGTACGTACGTGTGTACGTACGTATAGGGTATAAAGGATTGATATTTCGATTTGTTTTCTGCAGTGTCAGAATGAATTGTTTACATGGAAAGCCTGCGGTGTATTCAACAACGAGTAATGGAACGTTTTGGTTCTGTGGTGAGAATCCTAGCTGTAACTTTTTTTGTGCTGATAATGAGTGTTACATGTTTGAGAAGGCAATAACGGCGTGGAGGTGTACGGAGCAGCCCCAACCGAGATGTAATGATCATGACAAGCCTGCCAAGTTATGTGTTGTGAAGGACTTAATGAAGGAAAGTTATGGGAGACCTTTTTTCGTGTGTGGTGAAAAAGGAGAGTGTTGTTCTTTTTGGATGTGGGGAGACGTGTATCCCGTTGCGAAGCCAGAATGTAAACATGGTCATCCTTGTGTTGTGCGAAAGGTAAAGAAGGATGGTTTGAATAAAGGTCGATTGTTTTTCTGTTGTGCAAGTGATGAAGGAAGCAGATGTCGATTTTTCAAGTGGGCACCTGATGAGGAACGTGTGGGATGTCTTCAGACCGTTGACTTTACGAAGCAACCGCTGGGAAACAGTAAAGGGAACAGTAAATTAACGACTGATTTTATGAACAGGTTTATGGGTAAACTGGAAATCTAGAAAAGTTGTAACGGGGGAGTTTGTGTAAATAAAAAATTTTTAAGAAAACTATTTTCTCGAGTGATTTTTTCCGGTATGCATGACGTCATGGTACGTACGTGATTGTTGCGTACGTACGCGGAAACACGTACGTACGCATTTTTTTTTGCATGAGAAAAAAATGGACGTGATATTAAGTGAACTTAGGGCTGCCGGTGTAAATTATATTGATATAGGTATGTTGACCTATTATTTGCAAGAGATACGGGAAAGGCATGGTCCTTTATATGCTGAAATGTCTGCGGTAGTAAGACCGGAAGATTTCCGTAAGATATTTGATGATATGAATGTGACGAATTTTGGTAGGGCAATGGCCTTTTTAGCGTTTGTACATACGGTGGATGCTTCCGAGCAATTGAAACGTGAAGCTGTCCGTTTAGTGGCGGAACCCTTGAGGACCTTTGATGTAAATGCCTGGTGGATGAGGGATAGGGTGTTTTCTGGTATATGGAAGCGTTTATTTGATTAAGGTAAGTAGTATGTACTGATATTGCGAGAGAGTGATAATGGAAGTGATCTTAAGCGAATTGAGAGAGGGTGGTATTGATATTGATATGGTAACATTGTCCTATTATATTAATGGTTTGAGACAATTGCCTGTGTATGATACTATGGTTGTGAGAGTGGAGCCGTCGGAAATGGAAGTTATTTTTGGCGTTATGAATGTGACCAGTTTTTGTAGGGCAATGGCTTACTTAACGTTGGTGCATGTAATGGATATTTCTGTGGAGACGAAACGTGCTGCCGTTCGCTTGACTGTAGGGGTCCTGAAGGAGTGTGATTTGAGTTTATACCGTATAGCAAGGGAGGGATGGTTTCGTAGATTGTTCAGACGTGTATTTGGACGTTAAGGTAATTCCTGGGTTTTTTTTTAATATTGGAGGTTCTATTTGATAGAACCGTTGGAAGAGAGGAGTGGATGAGTGGGGGAACAAATGTAGGACGAAGATAAAATAGATTTGCACCACTGCGGACAAAGTAAAAGTGAGGATGCTGCTTTTGGTCTGATAATTTTACGGTATAAGTAGGTGAGAATTGTGTGTACTGATTACGGGACAAGTTTGTGATAATAGTATTATGTTTTGTTTAGGATTGATCTGAAGTTTTGTTGGAAGCATGCGCACCTGGAACCGTGGAGAAGCAGGGAGACTGGCGAGAGAGACTATCTTTATGAAACATTATGTAATTTCTTGTAATAGTTGAGTTATATTTTTGATAAATTACCAGGACGTTACTTTTATGTATATAAAATGTTTTGTTTTGTTGAATGTACATAAAGTATTGAAGTAAAAAAGAAAAAAAGCATTTACGTGTTTTTACTGCGTGATTTATGTTTGGGTGTTTTTGGTATTTGTTTGGGGATTGCACGCGTAATTAGGATCTGTAATGTTTTTAAGTAGGCGGTTGGGACTATAAAGTTTTACCGACGGGTACGGTAGGATGTATTTTATGCTTTGTGCGGGTGTGGAATGGATGCAAGATTTAGGACACCTGCAAACTTTTTTATTTGTGGCCAGACTCAGAGTGGGAAGTCCTATTTGACACGAAGTATATTACGGAATGTCGGGGAATTGTTTGATCCTGTACCGACAAAAATAATTTATTGTTATGGGGAATATCAAAAGGAACTGGAGGAATTACCGCAGGGTGTGGAAATGATAGAGGGTTTTCCGGATGACGTAAGAGGTTTAACAAAAGAGAATTCCCTTATTGTGTTGGACGATTTGATGTCTCAGTGTTCTAGTGATCAGCGTGCCGTGGACTTATTTACGCGAGGGTCCCATCATATGGGTGTTTCCGTATTGTACTTGACACAGAATTTATTTCCCCCCGGTAAACTGTCGCGCACAATCAGTCTAAATTCACACTACATGTTGATCTTTCGGAATCCTCGCGATTCGCTGGGTGTATCAACACTGGCGAGACAGATGTTTCCCAGGTGTACCGAGTACTTGCTGGAAGCTTATAATGATGCAACGAGTAAACCTTACGGATATTTACTGATTGATTGTCATCAATTAACGCCGGATTGTATGCGACTGAGAACCAGTATTTTACCGGGGCAACGGCAAATAGCATACGTAAAACGTACTTAAAAGCCGGGGCTGTGGTTTACAGGATTCATTCCGAGAATGTCTAGGCGTATGAAAAGAAGTCTACCATACCTTCAGGTTATGGGGAGGTGTGGACCGAAGTTGCGCAGGTTTATGGTGAATAATGTTCCCGGTGAGGTGATATCGGCAATTTGCGAGTGTGCCCTAAATCTACTTAAAGGGGTTGTTCCGTTAACACCTCGTCAGAAGCGGCGCTTAAGTCGTTACAAAGCACACCTCCGTGACCTGGCGAGTAAGAAGGTATCGCGGAAACGAAAAATACAGCGACTTAATCAAAAGGGTGGTAATATACTGACGGACCTTTTACCCCCCGTGCTGGGAGTACTCGGAAGTCTATTACTATGAAGCGCACGAAACGGATGGTACTTGTCCCCGAGGACGTATTGGGGCGGTATGAACGAAAACAGAAAATTGAAACGTCTCCCCTTGTGAGGAATATGATGCAAGAGGATGCGGACATGTCCGGAATCCTTGAGGATGAAAACCTAACGGATGCGGAAAAGCTGAAACTTTACAATGCAAGGATGGAAGATTACCTTAACCTTAGGAAACAGAAAGATGATCAGATACCAGTAGTGAGGATGACGGAAGTACCGAAAGTACAGGCGGAACCTGTGCGTGACGAAAATGTAATTGCTCACTTGCCCGTAACGTTGCGCCCGAGGGCTGCGGCCTTACTGAAGCGCTTGAGGGCAAATCCGGATGTTATTTCGTGGAACGATTCTGGAAAGGTGAAAGTGGATGGTACCGAGATTGCGAATTCGAATATATCCGATTTGGTTAGTGATGCCGTGAGGGAGAGGAAAGCGTTTAATCCCACGGGTGCACGGCAGTTTTTTCAGGGACTGGCCAAACTGAACGTGCCCCGTGACATTGCTGGTAACAGGAAGAGATGGGAGGAACTGGGGCAACCTGGTCCTAATAGAACACCTCCTGTACCCGGGGAGGAGACACCGGAGGAGAGGTCAGCACGTTTTCGCCAGAATATACGGGAACGCTTGAATACACCAGTACGAAGGAACTGGCTTAATTACTAGGGAAATAACTGTAACTGATTCAGTGTGTTTGAATAAAAGTTTTTTTTTGTAGAAAAAGGGGATTAATTTTTGTATGATTTTCTGACGGTTCAAAGGAACCGTCCAAAAATTCGTTATTTCTTACAGAAGACGACGCTGCACTAATGAAATGGTTGCAAACTATTGCAGTAAGAAAAAAATGACATCTTCACTTATAATGTTAAAAAGTATGCGGATGGCATGCGGTACGTGCGCAGAGGGTTACGAAAGCTGACCGTTTGTGCGACGTTCGCTAGAGATAACATAAGAGTGTTTTTTTCATGTGACGGTTTTGGAAAAAACCATCGTAAAAAATTATATGTTGTTCGAATAGAGTGCGTACACGTGAGATTTGTATCGATTAACACAATTGACAGGATCTGGGGTTTATAAGATGTAAAAACGTGTGGTCCGCATACGGTATATGCGCAGAACAGAAAAAAAAGAGTAGCACTGAGTTGTTGTAAAGTATTTATTAAGAATATTTTTTTACAAGTTAATTAACATTTTTTTGCTAGACTGATTATTAACATTAGAATGTTTTGGTACTATTTTAAAGTGTTGTTTAACAAATGTTGACACCTTAATATCGTTTGAAGTTGTATCACTGTTAAATAAGTGTACAATACGGTTTAAACTAGAACCCCTTGCCCTATGGCTAAGGTAAAATATACAGTACTGCCCACACACGTCGGACCAACTACTTTGTAGTTTACGTCTATTAAAGGTCCATGTGTGTAATTTGAGGAAGTTTCCAAATGACCTTGTATAATATCCGGGCGTATGACCATAGCTATCAAAAAATTCCGCCTTTCCTTCCGAAGGAAAGTAGAAGGCAACCCAATGTGTTCCGGGTTTGCTGCTGGGATCAGTGTTTGCGACGAATCCGCACGGGTACTTTTCAATGGTCCGGGGTAATTTATCGCTGGGAAATACACCACAGAACTTTTTACTGGTTACGGGATCGTGTTTTAGGGCACGTGTGATCTGATAAGTATTCATCCAGAGTAGTCGTAGATAACGTTTCTTTCGGAATCAATGTGAATAGTGTTTTCAAATTCCCCATAGCACACAAGACTTGCTGCGGCTCCGGGTGCTGCCGAGAATTGGATGTCAATGGCAAGGTTTCCCTTTTGTACAACGTTAAAATGACTCTAGAAGCACCGCACATGTCTGGTGTTAAATCAAAAGCGTATACGGCGTAACCGTGGCAAATTCGCTTCGTGTTATATCGGTTCCGGTATTATGATACATTTTTCCCGTGCCAGAAAACATGGTGGCGTAGGCCTCCACGTATCGGGGTGCGTTACCAAAGGCAAGTTTCATGGGTTTGAAGGGCACCTCCTCTCCATTGACTGTTATTGCAAGGGAAGACACGCTAAAATGTTTGAAGTTGAACGGATTTTTCTTAGGGTTACCTGTAAAGGCATCACCGTCAACTAATCCAAAAACAAGCGTTCTTGGTACAAGCCCGTTAAAACAGTTATCTTTGTGAAGGGATGGGTTTCCTCCTGGAACCGTAAAGGTTTTGCATTCTACACGACGAACGGGATAAATAGCCGGTCCTTTCTTGAGTGCAGTTTCATGAGCGATTGCAATACTAGGATTAACCTTCACCTTGCGCACTTTCAGGTAAGCATCTGTTAGGTGTACGCGGAAATCACTGTTATCCTCGGAAGCCATCAGACAGAATGCATTGCTGCTTCTGTTGAGAACAACTTTCAAATCGACATAACTCAGGAGGAGGCGCTCGGACATGAATATATCACTGAAGAGGGGACCTGTCATTTCGATAGTATTGCTCAGTTTACTAAAAACGTACCGCCGCCTGAGACCAAGGTTAGGATTATGATCATTACCCAGGGTGGGATCTGCGGCGTCCATTTTTCCTGCTGTATCCTTGTAGTATAAGGCAGTGGTAAGTTGGGAACTTTTTGCGGCAGGACCATAATTAAGGAGGGTTTCCAGGTAGGCACGATATGCATAGGTACTGGTTGCTTGCGTAACCTGTTTTCCGCTCAGGAAGACGTCGACTTGTTTGAAAAGACTGTGCAAGAAGTTATTTACAATACCCACCTAGGGAGGAAAAGGGAAATGAGTGTACGAAGGGAAAGTACGATTCATGCAGGGGAAACGTACCTTTTCGTCTGCACCAAGATTTGTACCGTCGGCTTTTGTCACCTTTGCCCTGATTACAAGGATTGTCCTGGCAAGGTCCACGTAATCTTCGGTGCCTGGGGATAGGAACGTAATGGCACCACCATCGGCAAGACTGGCAATGGGTTGGTGATCAATCCAATGTCCCTTTTCTAAACTGATCTGTGTTGGAGGCACGGAGAATAGATCTAGTTCGCTTTTTGTACACTCTTGCGATCCGGAATGTACTAAATGCATCATGCTGTTTAACCGAATATATCCTGAGCTGCTTTCCTTCTCTTGGCTTGCTTGCGTCTGGTGGAGGATGCCGGTGCCTTTCTCTTTTTACGTACTGTTCGCTTTCTGCTCTGGCTACGTCTGGCGGTTGATACGGAGGTCCTTCTCTTTTTACCGGCTCGTTTCACACTCTTGGAACGACGTCTTCGCCTTCCACTACCTGCCTGGCCTCGTAATGTATCCATGGCTTTTCCCTTGGCCGTATTCGCGGCTTCCATTGCTCGTGCTTTTGCTGCTGCCTTAACGTTTTTTCCTGTAAGAACATCGCCGAGGAAGTTGGTTCCACTTTGCATGGCAATATCCCCGAGGATTTTTGCTCCCTTTTTGGCAAGAGGTGCGACCGTTCTTATCCCTTTTTTTAGGAGTGGTACGGCTGCTCGTGATAGACTACGAAACATACTCCCCAGACCGTATCCTGTTTGGTTCCCGTATCCGGCCTGCCAGGGGCTACCATGGAAAACGGGCATTCCATACCCCTGCTGCTGATCCAAGTAATAACGTACGTACGGATTATTCATTCTTTTTAGGTGAAATAAGTATGCTTCCGGAAGTGAAGTGTTACCACGACCTTCCCTTGTTCAAATGGTACGGGGTCACCTGTATCGGTCCTTAAAACAATCTTTACATCCTCGAATGATTTCGTTTCAAGAGGTACGTACTGTATGTTTGTAAACGTCCTCGTGATAGTACTGCCATATGTTCCTTCAACGGGAACGGATTTGATTAGTCTTGCATTAACATCCCCGACCACCTGAGCTTGTACAATATTGCAATAAATGAATATAGACGAGAAAATGGACAGGTTTGCTACGTGAGGACTCTCGCCCGTTGTGTCAATTGTTACCGTCTTTCCACCGTATCCCAGGATAAGGGACAATTGCCCAAATAAACCAATCTTGCAGTTGGTTCCCAAGTGGACTGTCACCTTTCCTGTTCGAGTACTGTACGTTAAGTTTATGCTGTCATTGCCTACATATTTTTTTAAAGAGGCATTCATGTTCTTGAGAAGTTCTTGTACAGTTTCATAGTGTCCATAATCGGCAAATGCCGCAAGGAAAAACCCCTTGCCATTGTTTCCGATACCATCGTTGTAATAAAAGTATAAATCGTCAGTAACATTCCGCAGAGTATACCATGTATGGGGATAAGAAATGGAATACACCCCAGTTTCCCAGTCACCTTCCAGGTCAGATGACTGTGGTAACTGTACACGATATTCGGTTGTTTTATTATCGGGAAAAACGTCCAGGGACGCATTGCTAGGGAGCGTGAGGTAAAAGTGCGGTCCGCTCATAACGAGAGTAATAGACAAGTAACGGAAACGTGCAATCCCTATGCCCTTTTCATCTGGGACGCAGATATCCACGAATTGAACTTGCTGGGATATCCCAACCACTTTACCAGGTAATAAGCGTTTTTGCCCCTTCCGCGCCTTTTTAGGATTTTTTCCACTTCGTACACATCATCCCTTTTAATAATCTGCTGTAGTTCCTTTTCATAAAATGTACCCTTTAATTCCTCACCGTCCAGATCCTTTAGCTTATACACTGGAGGGTTGCGGGGTACCCGCTTACTTATGATAAATATTTCCCTTGAGAAATTCGGTAGGTACCCCTTTTCGAACGTCCGTTTCATCTTACTGATTCGTACCTGATCGCCTATTTTAAACTTGTAACTGACAGTTTTCCGTATTTCGTGATCAGGGTATAGGGTGTGCCACACCTTTCTTTCGTTGTCGGTAGTAACATCCGAGGGTTTCATTTTGATACTCCTGTGTACGCTGTGGTTATAGGAATAAACCATGTCAGGTAACATGTTTAGATAACGCATGGTTTTCTGGGCCGTAAAGTAACGCCACATCCTCGTCTTCAGGGTACGAATCAGACGTTCCACAATAGAAGCTTTCGTTTCGTTATACGTATTGTACAATTCAATGTCTTCTTCCTTCATCAGTGCCCGGAAGTGCTTGTTTAGAAATTCTGTTCCCTGATCTGTCATAATCTTTTCCGGTTTGCGTCCGGATAGTAAAATACCCCCTGAATGCCTTAACAAGTGTGGGACCCGTTTTGTCCTTTAGGGGGATGACCCATGCATATTTGGAAAACACGTCAATGCATACCAGCAGGTAACGGTATCCATCGTTAAACTTTCGTATGGACTGCATATCGGCCAAATCCATCTGCCATTGTTGATCAATACCTCCTACAATGACACGGTTTCGCCTGAAATGACGATGTATAGGCTTATGTAATGTGTATGTGTCCTGTTTCATTAGCCATTCCTTAATTTGTTTCCGGCTTATAGTAAATTTGCCTTCCTTTCTTACGTCCCTATACAGGCGTTCCACACCACCAAGTCCTCCGGATCGTTTTGGATTGTAATAGACGCTCGATAAGTAGTCGTTCATGTTTACACGCAAAATGATGCGAAAATGTCATTCTTCGGCATTTTGAACGCTACTCTCCCGGGGTTCTTCGACGCACTTAGCGTCTTGAGTGCTACTCTCCTGAAGTATTTCGTAGTGTTTAACGGTTTTACTACAATATCCCATCTGTGCATGTCCCTCGAGGTTAAGATCATTTCGTCCTACACTCATGCCTATTCTAAACATTTTCTGTTTGTTATGATTTTTGTTTAACCGTGGGGACTTGCTATGAGAGTGACCCATAATGCGTACCCTGACATAAAAAAAGGTTTTCCAGGCTTGCACACTGTTATATAGGATTATTCTCCGCACTAGAATTCATTCATTAGCTCGTGGTAGCCTAGAGGTAAGCATGTCAAAGCCTATAGACATTGATAATAAGGAACTTGTTTTATATCATCGCCAAAAACGCCTTATCAGGAAACTTCTGGAGGCATCTGCCAGGGAAATTGCAGCCGCTATTTCCCAATTAACTGTTGAAAACTGTCAGGGATGCATAACACAACACTTGTCGCAAACACACCATCAGTGCGTTACAATGGAAAAGGACGAACGGCTTTACATATATTTTGATACTGCCCTGGATAGAGTCTCTGAAGTAAAGGTGATGGAAACCTTTACCAAGAGTCTGGGCAATATGAAAGTACATGATTGCGAATTGATAAGGTATGCACCGGAGGACTGGAAAACCATTTTTTGCGTCGAACACAGACAGGCATTAAAACACGTGACTTTTCAATTACTGTAATGTATAAATAAAAAGACATTGTACCTTAATCATCTCCTTCAATTGTTCAGGACCACGATAACGTACACTTTTCCTCGTTAGGAAAAAAAGCCCGCTAGTGCATATCATCCCGGAATAAACATGTCGTATAGACATATTGTAGAAAAGGAATGGCCATCAGTGGATACTGTACGAGATCAGTGTTGCTTAATGGATGTAATACTTACAAGTGTTCTGGTTCGCAGGATCGAAAAGCTGTGCAAGCACCTGAGACTGTCCGAAAAGGAGGGATGGTCCATATATGGTTTACATATTATAAAACAAATCATGGAACAGGGAATACTCTGGGATCACCTGTTCGAGGTCCTTCTTGTTATGAATCGGGAATACATAAAGGGCACAACAGAACATTTTAGACGCCTAAATGAAAATCATCAGACAACCCTTGATTTTTTAAATAATTTACGAAAGACACCTGAATTCACCAGGTATCAGTTTGTTCTATTGTACCTTTCCTTTTGGAATTAAAAAAAAACACCGTGCGTTTCCCTTATTACTATCACTTGGTGCAGGCATGCCGTGGAGAAACATCATTACTCGTTGGCTCTCCGATAAATGTATAATGCAGAACTGTAATCTGGAAACGCTGGATTTAGTAAAACTTCTGATAAGAGAGAATACGATACCGTCAACGCTTGTTGACAATTTAACGTTGCACTCCATTCTATTAACACAAGTGCTATTGGAAACGTTAACGACTATAACCGTACCCCAGATTGCCCAGGGAAATGATTTTACTTACCGAATGAATGCCAAGGAAATAATGATGATGGAGCTGAACAGAAAAAACGAGGGGCAAGTCCTGGCATTGGAAAGGGAAACGGGAGTAAACCTGGATCATTATCATAAACTAAACATTAGCAAATAGCACTGGGACTTGGTGATTCCCCGTAAAAAAAAACATTTATTTCAACTGTAATAAACAACGTAGTATTAGTACCCATAAGGTAGTGTTTTGTAATCATCTATAATTAAACGTTTATCATAAACTATTTTATAGTCCTTCTTCATGCGTTTCGTCTCAATGTTCTTTTCCCTTGCGTTTCGGGTTATCTTCAATGGAATGTCCACTGTAACTTTTCCCGTAACATTACACTTTGCACGAAGGTACACTAATGAACGAATAACATCAAAGTTTACCTTTTGCTGTGCCGAGCAATTCAGGGTAATCCCCCGTACTTTCGTTTCCACTTTACCCGTGCTGGTTTTATAACAGTAATTTTTCGGCCCGCCCGAAATAAAGGTGGTAATGTAACCCTCCTTCAATTCATTGGTTAACTGACCAAGGTACGGACCCAACGGGGGTTCTGACTCGCCGGGCTTGCTTACGAATATCACCGAATCCGTGTCGTAGTACAATACTCTTTCCTGAAGCTGATCGAGCACTTCGTATAGCTTAAGACGAGCGTACGCTGTGGTAAACGCGGCAATGACCACGTTAGTCTTTGCGTCGGCTTCGACAAAGTTCTCGTTATATTCATAGTGAAGTTCCACCATTTCATCACTCACGAACCTTGCGTTGAGAACCTTGATTTCGTCCGATGTTAAGTAATCGAAATAAACCCTAGGATCTTTAACCAATTCCACCTTAGTCATATTGGATCTCTGTGCGAATTTACCTGAAGAAAAAAAAAGGGTGCAATGTAAACGCCTATTAAGGGACGGTAGTTATTGCGTGGCTCGCGTGCACAGTAATCAGTATACGTACCCCAAAATGAATTCAACATTAATTTGGCCAGTGCTCGCATACCAGGATTGTACACAATGTTTTCTCTGTCCAGTTGTATTCCCTCAACATTCAGGTATTCGTCAACGTACTGCTGTTTTTGTTCTTCAGTGACACAATTCCCAGGATACCCACTCGATTCTTGCTTGATCTTTAGAAAGGTATTTACATAATCCTTGAATAATTCGTCGGAGGTTTCTGGAAAATGCCACACTTCGTGCATCCGTAAAATGGTATAACCTTTTTCCAGGGCCTTTTCCAATTCAACACTGCACTACGTTCCCTGAATGGCTCTTTCGCGCTCGGTATGGGTACAAGGGACCTGGGCACACGCGTCTGCACACGATTTACACAGGGGAAACATTAACTTACCACGGGTACGGTAGGGAAGGACGGGATGAAAAAGTCCTCGGGGTGGCAACACAGTACACTTAATCAGTCCAAAGTACGTGGAAAGATCACCAAAATTCTCAGTGATAATACGAGGGTGTCCAATCACAGTCCTGGTCATTTTATTGCACCATGGATACAAACTGGTAAAGTCGGCGTACCTGAAAAAAAAATCCAACATATTCACAATCCTACGCCCCTATACTGTGTACATTTCCCGAAACATACCTTATCTCCTCATCATCCTTGCATTCATGGAAGAGTTTCGTTGCATTGGTTCGACCACCATAAAATGCATGACGCGGTTCCAAAGGATCCGTAACATCATAATCATTAAAGTACACCTGCATGTCTTCATCACATCCTAATTCACGATTGATGTCACATTCCCACATTTCAATAACATTAAAACCGTGCTCCCTAAGGTACTCGGTTTTTTGTACTGTGGCCTGGTAAAGATCCTGCATTGTTTTTCCATTTACCCCATTCACAGTATCCCGGGCATAACATGTTAAACATCCTGTAAAAAAAAAAAGCGTATAATTGCTAGAAAAAGTACCTTTTCTTTCCCTGCCGTGAAAAAAAAAAAAAAAAAAAAAGACCCTAGAAAAAAATCACGATTAGTTTCCTCTTTCGACACATAAGAAACACTTACCGTGCCAAAAGCAGCCGTGAAATTCGTAAGCTGTACGTGTCTCTTCGTTGTAACCATCCAATGAATAGTGTCCAACAGTTTTCTCTCCGCCATTGCGCTTATGTTGAATATATATGTCGTTCTTTTCGGCAGTATACGATAACCATTTCAAGGCTATGTTAGATTGTTTCGTTCCTGGATGATAACCACGAGCTGGTAGGACAGCAATGGTATTTTCTCTTAGGAAATTCGTTCGGAACACAAGGTTGCATGCTGACGCAATTGTAAGACACTTCTCAAACGGATCAATGTTCGTAATATCACGGAATAATTCGCGAAATTCAAGACAACAGCGACGCAAAATATCCACGTCCGAGCGGCAGTACGTCAGAATTTCCTCTTGGAAATTAAATACATAATTACTTGTTACCAGATTATCATGCCATTCCATAAACTTTTCCCTGTCCAGGGGACTCATTCCATCGGGGTAATAATATGGTGTAGGTGGAAGGGGTCCAATGTAATTGCGATTTTCCCTCCTATTAAATAAGTGGGGGAAGTAGCCCTTTTCCAACTCGTCCATACCAAAGGTCCTGGGAAAGTCGGCCAATCTCATAGGTATAAAACTCAGCGAATCAATAAACTTGACTTTAAGCATAGGTACATACATTGATAGGATCTTTGCACCACGCATAATAACTTCAGGAATAATACCGTTTTCGTGCAGGTACTGTTGAATGAAATACCCATCGTATCCCTGAAAATTATGGGCTATAACAATACATCCCGCGTGTTCCTTGGTGAACAGCCACTCACAAAACTCATTTCTCGTATTATCACCTTCGAATACCCATTCATCACCGGCTTCATTTTGAACAACACACAGGTTTGGTTCATGCGTACCACTTTCCTGTTGACACTCAAAGTCAAAGAACAGTAATTCATTATAACCGCTTTCAGACGCATCATTATGTACACCGTCCTCTAGTAATTCCTCGCTGTCAGACATCGACTCTTTCGTTACAGTTTGCATGTAGCACTGATGGTCTCCAGGGTTCACATACTCCTTGCAGGTCTTACACTTGTACTGTCCACAGTGATGCAAGTCGGACCCCACCCTTTCCCGTTTCACAACACTATTACAATGCAAGCACTTAATCAACGACGCACAGACCGAACGCTCATGACCTATATTTTGTTTGTGACGATCAAAACATTCCTGGCTCTTAAACATACGATTACAATCCGTACACGGTAACCAAGCTACAATAGGACAGTCCGGAAAACGACAACATGGACATGCATTCGGACACATATGATCCACTGACTTATCATACGGTTTTTTGCACGAATGACAATACCGTTTTCTGGCAAAAAAAGCAGGCATGCTTGTAATAACATCGTAATGATTATCATGTAAATACAAATAAATCTTTTTTTCTCTCTCCGACGGTCCCGTATAAACAATAGCATCCTGGTGCTCCTTGGAAACAATATTTATTTCATATTCAGTCAAATACTCTTGAAACTGCTTTACCTCACTTATACCACAAGAACCTATTGGTACACCCGCTTTTTCGTGCAATTCACATGCTAAACGTCCCTGAAGTGGTCTTTCCGACCTTCGTATTAAACGATCCCTACTATCCTTTTCAATTCTTGCAATCGAAACAATCAAAGCCCTGGCCAAACAAGTACTATCCCTATTCTGAATCCTAATCACCGAACGTTTACTCATCAAGTGTTTTTCCAGATCGATTTCAGCACGTCTCGTACCGGTTCCCCCCTGGGGCATTTCGACATGAATCACATTTACATTTACCGAATCATTCAGGCGAAATTCATGATTCGACTGTACAACACGCTCAATTTCAGCTAAAATACGTTCAGTCGTAAGCCGAGAAGCATGTAAAAAAGGAAGCGAAATGGGACTGTCGAGCTGGGGCGACTGCAACACAAAACGGACCTGATCATGTTCAGGTACATCCCTAACCACTTCCGATAATAAATCCGAGAATATTTCATGAAGACGATCGTGAAACTGAGACAGTTCCATATTAGCAAACGTATTCGTAAACCGTACGGTATAATCCGTACCCACTGTACGGAACTTCTTCACTTTCACCTGTTTCACACTCGTTACTGAAAAGTAATTACTTTCGCTAACCTGTCCGGATGTTCCTTCGTCTGATTCATCAGCCGTTCTCTTTTCCCCACGTCCACACTGTAACACAGGCCCATCATCCGTTGCTGCCCAAATGGGTTCATCATCATTCCATTCTATCAAGAAACTACGTCTCTGCTCCGGTGTCCATGAATCCGAAAGGTTTGCCACCAATCCCTGTCGTTCGTTTTCCGTACCCCACTCAAGCAAACGCGAAATAATCTCAATTCTTCTCTCGTACACAAGTCCTTGCTCGTACTCGCTTAAACTATACAGGTTCTCTAGTACTATCAGTTCCTCAATCGTCTCACACGCGACAATCTTTCGTACAATATCCATACCTAAAAAAGAACAACACCTAGCAATTATTACATACCCTTTCCCTATGCAAACAGTCGTTTCTCGAAACACTTACCGCTCAATTACGCCTTCTAGATAATCAAGCGCTAAAATTAAACCTTTTTTCGATAGTTACAAAGCAACTTCCATGCATAAACAAAGCATCATTTGCCCTAAAAATCCCTTTTTTGTGTTTATATACTCTCGATTGCGTTCGTACGCAACGCCATCTTGAAATCGTATTACCATGGCAACGTCAGCAAAAAAAAAAAACAACACTATTGCAATTTTAAAACAGGAAATCAAAGCCTTTTCGGGCAAGTTTGGGCAAGTTTTTTTTCAATAATTAATATACCATACAATGAATAAAAAGGAAGCGTATACTAAACGGGAAGCCGAACGCTCAAGAAAAAACCGCTTAGTGGCAAAGGAAAAAAACAAAAAGAACCAGGCTTTTTACGATTTCGTATTAGCAAAATACAAATTTGTCGTGGAGGAATTTGAACAGGAATACCACGCCGCAAACGAAAACAACGCCATAGACTTCCTGCCTACAGCAACAGTGTCACCTTATCAACGGTTTCCAGATAATCCCTGCGAACAAATCAACGATATGGATCTGTTGACTGATCTCACCACAATCAATGAAATGGATCTGAACTTCAATTTATTTGACGATCCCTTTTTAACAAGTATACTAAACAGTGAACCAGTAACCGGACAAAACATTTAAACAATCAAATTTAACAATCAATTTAACAATTTATTAATAATTTCAAATTAATTTCAAAATAATGTACATAAATTCTTTCAAACTAATTTCAAAATAATGTACATAAATTCAAATCGTATTCAATGCTTTTTCCGTAAACATAAATGGTACTTATAAGTTCCTTTTCTCCCGGGCCCGTCTATTCTGAAACCATCCAAACACTTTTTCCCTTGACAACCCGAAACGCAACATCAGGCTTCTCCTCTCCAGCACTGTAGGATATCCCCCACTGCTTGCATACAAATCCTTTAGCGCTTTTAATTCCTCCAGGGTAAAACCATGACGTTTTCCACAATCTAAATCTTGGAAAAAATAATATTCTATCATTAATACCTGTACTAATTCTCTCTCTCTCTCTCTCTCTCTCTTTCTCTCTCTCTCTCTCTCTTACCATGCCACAAAATATACGGATTCACTAACGGTAACACCTGACCCTCTGCCCATGGTGATACTACTATCATCGGTAATCTCCCAGAAACATTCCGTTCACAGGCAATCCCTGGTGAAACTCGCTTCTCAGTACTCCCCGAACCCTTCATACTAAGCAGAATCATGGCAGCCTCGTAATCCTCGGCACTTATTCCAACAGGTCTTGCCATCCCAAAATAAACACTCCGGACGCTACAAAACGTATACATAATACGAATCATTCCGTACGTACGCAATCAAAAAAACAACCACATACCTGTTTCAGTCTTTCACTTAACCACAGTCCAAAAGCTTCCGTCTCAACTTTGGGGCAATGACCATACGCCGCCCCACCAGTTAAGTGATTACCACAAGTTTCTAACCACCCTAACCGATCAAACAATACTTCCGCCTTTGGACATCCAAATAATTTAAGGTTTATACTACGTAAACCAAGCCTGTCTAAAAGATCCCTCTCGTAAATTCCACCCTTGTAAGCAAGCAAGTATTTTGATTCCGTCCGGTGTCTATTATAAAATGCAAGCACAATACTATTCAGACGCTGTAAACTCACTGCCCCTGACCCCTCCGGAACACCAAACGGTAAATGATGCACGTTACGTATTACGTAACCACACTGTCTCCTTGAACGCATATCCAAATCCCTCCATTGCATACCAATATCGAAAAAATGCGACTCCCCATAAACATTTCCAATCTTCCACATACCTAATTCCTTGCAAAGGAATCGCCCCCCCACATTAAATCCATCCATATCCATTATACCTATTACATTTCTCAACGTCTCCATCATACCCCCACGAGAAAAAAACAATACTGCGTACGTACGCAATTCACGTACGTACGCAATTCACGTACGTACGCAAGGCTATAAAAAGAAAAAAACTAAATGAAAATAAAACTACACAATGAACAATACAGATCACACGTGGATAAACAATTTAACCGTTGACGAAATTACGCCTCAGAAAGAGAAAACTTATGCGATCTCCTTAATGCCATACTGCTGGATTTCGTTGCTGATCACATCAAATTACTACGTAACGAACGATGCTGCGGATGCCAAGTAAATCATCCCAGTCAAAGGAGACACGAATGTCTCATGATGAGCTGCGAAGAAGGATGGCAAATGTACGGCGAAGAGGCACTACAACGCGTTCACACTCAGAATATCGTATGGAAAGCATTCCTTGAAGCTATTCGCGTCACAAAACTTGACTATCACCCAGACGCTGCCCTACACCATGCAAACCTATGGAAAAATTACGAAATCACCCTCCAGACTCTCATGGATCTCAAGGAAGGCTCAACCTACCTAAAACACGATGCTATCGTCAATTATCTATCCTACTGGATCAAAGAACATTAATCAAACACTTATAAAAAAAGAACTTTATTACCATAAACACTGTAATATTCACAAAACGTTCATTACATTATTTTAAACTGTTCATTTATTAATCTGACTAATATCCTTTTGTAACTGTCTCATGTTCCTCAATCCTCTATATTTATCACAGGTATCGTAGGCAACGCAGACACCGCCCTCTTCAACCATTCCGCAGCAGCAGCCTCAACATTATCGTGATGCGACGTAAATACCTCGCACGTATCCACATGTACATACTCATATGATAACGGGTTTGTAAAAAAAACTCGACCCGTTGCCATAATCTGATTTCCCCCCGCAGCCTTCTTTTCCGCAAACTCCATGCTCTTGGCTACGCGACTATCATTATACATTCCAATTCGACACACCTGGCAAAAACGCTGCTTGAAATTACGTGATGTTATACTCATATCGCAAACCCTACAGTGCCGACAATGCTCACTAACACACGGACAGTCCACGTCCACATATTTTTCAATGATATTCTCATCACTAGAACATGCCATTCTTAATCTAAAATATAAAAAAAATCAACCCTTTACACATTTACCACATGATGTGACCGCTATACGGGGTAAAATGCTTAAATCATATGTTCTCTACCTTCTCTTCAATGCAATGTATTGTAATACTTATTCCCTCTTCAATAAAAATAAGTATTATTTTCCCCTTGCTGTTTACCAATTCTATTCCTTTCTTATCTCCTCCCGTTACTTTCAGGTATTCATATATAGTATCTATAACTCTATACGCTAACACTACTCTTTCCATCTTACCCGTATTTCCTTTCTCCCCCTCTTTTATTTTCATCACACACGTACGTACGCATGACATCACTCCCGTACGTACGCATAACGTCACTTCCGGACCTATGGTCTATCGGCTAATATGTTTGAATCGATATAGCGATACACATTTTCGAATTGTTTCGAGTCGCAATAATAGTATTCTTTATATATCCTGTATAATTTTTGAAGTAAATCTTTGTCTTGAAAACGTTTCGAATCAAACATTGTATCTTCATCCCATTTTATATCGTTTATTTGATAAATTATTAATATATCAACATAAGCATCTGCAGCGTAAAATTGCGCGTATTCTAGCATAGTTTCACTCGCATCTCTAACCCATGTTTCTTCTTCAATGATGTGGTCACCGTGTTTACGCTGTAGATCACTTTGTATAATGTATGTTAATATATATTCAAATAGTTGTTGCTGTTCTTGACCTGTTTCACCAGACCAATTTTCAGGACGCTCACACATTTTTTAAAAATTTTATACCACCCGCTAAAAAGCAGGGTGAAATTAAAAATTTGGTTTTGCGATCTAGTTGTCACCTTTCCCGTCGATTGTGTGACAAATCAAAATATCAATCCTTTATACCTTATACGTACGCATGACGTCACTTCCGGACCTATAAAAAACGGGGGGAAAAATGTACGTCATAAAACAACCTCCCTAAAATTCGTCACACCTCTTCTTGTTTCTCTAGCTTTTCTCATGACGTCATCTGTACGTACTTGTGACGTCATACTTATCTCTATTTAAGTAATGGCTCTATAAGGTGGTGGGTATTGGGGATGGAGGTTGTCCTATTGAGCGGAGCTCTACTACTTCATATTATACACCTCCTCTTGTTTCTCTAGCTCCACCTGATTTTAGGGAGTTTCCACTCAGGCAATTTTTCCCGCCTTTTCCCCACCATATGGGCCCGCCCGGCTCTGCGGGTGGGCCCATATGGGGGGGGTAATACTACTATTTATGTTGTACTTATGTCCTGTCCGTTCTGATGTTGGTGTTGGAAATCGTGATAGATGCGATGTACAAGCATTGTTTGTACAATTATACAACCACATTGCAGCTAATCCTTGTCTTGAACATGTCTTTTCTAAAAGTACCAAAGGGCTATGACAATCCTTGCATACTGCAGCGTTTTCAAGCATTTGTTGCAGGCAAGCAACGCTAACAACAAAATTTCCATTTTTAGGTAATTCATACTGCGATGTTTGGCTTTCGACTGCAGGTTCACTGCCACTGTCATCACTCACATCCTCTGAATTGTACGACTCGACGTCGCTCTCTGTCTTTGACGATACAAGTTCGTCCGCTTTACGTTTAAGAAAACTTTCCTTCCCGGTCTCTAGCTTTTTTCTGCTTCTAGATATGGAGCTTGATAAATTCGGATTATTGTTGTTAATATTTTTACTGAGCAATTCTGGCCATTGTTTGTCCTGATCAAAGTAAGAACCTTTGTCTGTAGCTGCTAAATATCTCTTATTTTCGTCTGACAAATTCGCTGCGGGCTTTTTTTTCGACTTTCTTTTAGTACAAAAAGGGGTTTGAATTTTTCTTACTAACTTTGGATAAATTTAACGGCATAACCACATAAAAATCACAGTATAACGTGTTCCTAAACAACATAAAAAATGTGCATAACAGCCACACAGGCGCTTATAAATCGGCACGTGATGTATTGAAATCGACAAGCTAATTACGTAAGATAATTAGTTTGGACATTGTTTCCTGCCATTTCTGTTGAGAGTCATACAGCGTATGAAGCACTTTACCCCATAATTCAGCGAGTTTTTAATATTTTCACTTCAAATTTTTGCAGATGAAAGTTCTACTAGTAAGACTCCATATGGATAGTTTTCTAATTTTTCAAATGTGTGAGCAAAAAAAGGTGTCCTGTAACCTTAATATCATTTTAATGATATTAATATATATAAAATATTTTAATAACAAAGAACACATGTGCAATTTACATATTGTTACCCCCCCCCCCTCATCAACTCTTCAGTTTTCTGAGTCTGCCACCTTGAAAATAGCCACCCTTTTTTTCAGTGACCTCCCCCCCTTGATAAAATATTGGGCCCCCTTTGGAGTAATTTTAAAAGTAGAAGCTTTTTTATACATTTATTTTCATTTCTTGTAATGGAAATTTTATATCTTGCTATGTTTTAAATGTTTTGGATTTATTAAGTATAGTCAGTTGTCATGGCACTTTACAGATGCTAGAATTCAAGCATTTGCCTGGAGGAGTATACCCCTGGACCTCCTAAAAGTTTATTGTACTATATTATAGTTAAAACAGATTTTCACATAATAAACAAAATATATTCGAATTAGCTCAGGGTAAAATTACATGGGCCCCTCCTGGGATTATTTGCCCTCGACCTTAATATTTTTAACCTTAAGTGGCAATATGCCCAGATGCTCCCTACTTTAATATTTTACTCTGTCTAACGCCAGATGAGTTTACTCGTCAGATGAGTGTTTAAATAAACCCTGGCTCTACCACTGAAGGTTCATGTGCATCTTGTAACTTCACAACGTAAAGCTCCAAATCTTTCTTCTTTATTTATGATGCCAATTTGTTCACTGTTATTATGATTTGTAATAGTGACAGACATGTGGATACTTGCTTGGAGAAGTTCTAGATATCAAAATGTATAGGAATATATCTGAGGTTGAATGTGTTAAGAGAAAAGTATTGAAGTTATTTAGTTTATATAAGGTACATCCCCTAACAGTACAACATGCATAGTTATCCTTCAGTGCGATAAATCTTGAATGTTTTTTGGCTCAATGTCGGTAACATCTAGATTTAAACGCTGACATTCTGCTCGGAAATTTGGTTCGAGAAAATCATCAGGGACATCGAGTACTCCTGACTGTTCCTCTGTGACTGGTAATCCTATGAAAGAAAAAATAATCAATGCCAGCCTCGGAACACCTTAGATCACCATATATAATGAAGGAAATACTCATAACTTTTGGCTGATTTTGCATATGACAATTGGCAACATAGGATCATATCAACCTGTTCAACTCTCACTTGTGTTGGTAATGGTTTATTTCAACCATTTGAGGAAACTTATTAATTTAGAACAATGTACCACATTCCTCAATGTCATATTCCTGAGGGAATGTATAAATGTGATCAGGTATGCCGCATGGCAAGCAAGTATCCTTTTGAGCCCTAATCCGATGGGTGTTCCATATGGTTTCTTTAAAGTGCCTATCACCCCAAATGTTTATGATTGCATTGTAAAGATCCTTTAAAATGACTTAATAATTTCTTTTATAGAATTTTCGTAACTTGCTTCCTTTGCAAGATATTTAACTTTGTTTCATATGCAAATATCACCGGTGTGACATCACATCGCATAATGACATTTTGAAAACGCAATATTTTACCTTGATAAAATATTTTTAAAAATAAATACAGAGGGTTAATCACCAGTTATGAAATAAATACATGTACAAGGGCAATTTTTAAGTTTTTTAGATACGTATTCGTCAAGAAAACTATACTTTTCAGAAAACTCATTATGCGATGTGATGTCACACTGGTGATATTTGCATACGAAACAAAGTTGAATATCTTGAAAAGGAAGCAAGTTACGAAAATTCTATAAAATAAATTATTAAGTCATTTTAAGTGATCTTTACGATGCAACCATAAATATTTGGGGTGAAATTTCATGTCATAGGCACTTTAAACAGATCAAGTTCTTTCTGCATAATTGGAATCATAATTGGAATCATTAATCAAAATGATTAATACTGTTAGAACATAAATGACATAACCTTATCACATCGGATCAAATTTCAGATAATTAAACCATTCATTGATCTATTGAGAGGTAAAATTATATGGTGTTAATACAAAATATAAGGTAAGATAGCACTACATTAATTACTTTCCAATTAAAAACATTAGCAACACCTATAAGTAAAGAAAATACTCTTTACAGGGGGGAATTCCCCCCCCCAAAAAAAAAATCCTGAATCCCCTCTCCAAATCTGAAAATAACTAAATTCTGGGGGAGGGGAGCACTCCCCTCCAAAACGGAATATGAATATCATTAATATTAAACTGGTAAGTGGTAAGGCATATAACATTGTGTGTAAAAATAGTTAATTAATCACTTAAAGGTGCAGTTGGTGAACCCATACATCATTTCTATCCCCTCACTTGGAAATAAATGATCGTGGGAAATAAATGATCGTGGGAAATAACACATGTCTGGGTTTGTGACTATAGAAAGGTAATTCCCCCCAAAATAAAACCCCCCCTGAAATTTGGGGGAGCTACCACCCAAGCCCCAAAATACCTCTGATATAGAAAAACAAACCTATCTATGTCACTGTTAGGGACATAATGGCCATGATCTTTTAACCAGCGTGGTTGATTCTTGAAATACTTCTCAAGTCGCTCATGGAGCTCTTTCCACCACCTTTCGATCTGTTGAAATGTTACATGTATAAATATACCTTAATATGTAATATGCCCCTTATCTAACATGATGCTCTAAATATTAAGTTCCTGTGGCTTTATAATGTCCATTTCAAAAGGAGAATTAAGGGAGTTTTGAGTTAGTAAATTAGGGTAATGTATGGATATTTTTGGATATCTTACGTAAAAATTAACTCTCATACCCAATGCTTAGGGCAAGGTGGTGGTTGCAACACAATAAATGAAAACTGACTTTTCTGTGCAATATGAACATTGACTGACCAGTGCGCAATAGGCAAGGGGAAGCAATCGGAATGGAACAAGTCAGTGATCTGGAATTAAATTTATTTGTGAATGATTCACAATACCAAGAAGGCAAGAACCAGCATAAATTACACACTCACTTGATTTGAAGTAGAAGGCCCATACAGAATTGTTTCACTGGCATCATCCATGTCATTGTGATGCCGTCGTAAAAAGGCGTGTATTGTTGCCATTATCCCCGTCTCAGTACCTTTATCCATTCTCAAAAAAACTGATATGCGCCTTGTCTCATACAAGTGGTCAAAGTACCACCTACCAATCAACATAGGGTCAGAGTTACTGACGCAAATTCAGAGCCATAGCAATTTCCGACTAGCGGAATGCACAAAGTTGGTTCCTTTGGTGATGAAATGACCTTTAGGTTTTTTCTTCTTGGCACCAACGCCACGACTTTCAAGCCCTTCCGGATCCAAATCGTACATGACTGTGTGGACAAGGTCTCGTGGCACGTCCAGTTTATGAACTTGGCGAATTTTTTTCTGCATGGCTCTGTAGCCAAGCAGTTTCCCTGGGCCTCCCAATTCCTCTGCTACAGCTTCTTTCACTTGGTCAATGTCGACGTCCTTATCGTTGTAAAAAATATCGAAATAGCGAAGATGTCGGTCTAGCATGCGAACACTCCATGTATATTGAGAAAAATCTTTTTCCATAAAACTTAATATCTCATTTCGTTTGTACAACTGATTAACATATCGCTTTAAATTTTCTTTGAGATTTTCATCGTCTTTCCACGCGTCCGTCCGAAAACAAGATGCCATTTTGAATTTGAAGACTTCTCATGCCCCAAATGCATGGCGGTATACTATGGCAGCTATAGGCCATCAGTATTTTACTTTTACATTTTCATTTTACTATGTTTTACATTTTATTTTATTTTTATTTATTTAAAATATGTTTATTAAATTTTATGTGATCTTATGTGGCAGCTATAGGCCATGAGCATTTTCATTTTACTTTTACATGGAATTTAAAATGTTCTTTATTTTCGTTTTACTTTAATTTTATTATTGAAAGTTGTTTTAAAATGATTTTACTTTTAGTTTAATTTGTGGTTTTATTTTTATTATGTTTTACATTTTACTTTATTTTTATTTATTTAAAATATGTTTATTAAATTTTATGTGGCAGTAATAGGCCACCATAATGGTCCATTGATTGAAGACAAGAGTTCTGGTACCTTTTTTGCGGACAGGAATTACCCTAGCAATTTTCAGTTGATCAGGCACAACTCCCATCGAGAAACACACATTGAAAAGATATGTCAAGGGTTGCGCCAATATATGTTTTAGAATTTTCAGAAGATTGACAGGTATGCTATATGGACCAACAGATTTTGATGGATTTAGTCTAGAGATTTCATCAATGATTTCTGTAACTGTCACTGAAAAAATGGCAAAACTATTACACAACGGATGAATCATTAACTCTCGATAGGTGTATTGACCAAAGGTATTGCTGATTCCAAATTTGAACCTATAGTTGAAAAGTACTTGTTAAAAGCCTCAGCAATAGCTTTCTTATGGACTATTTTTTAAGATCCTATTTGTAATAAATTGGGACTCGTATTGTTAGCATATTTTAGGGTAATCAATTGCTTGATTCCTTTCCATACACTTTTCATGTTATCCTTATTTCTCAAAAAATAGGAATTATAATAAGACTTTTTGCTAGCCGTCAACAGATGCTTTAGTTTATTCCTATAGTATTTAAACTTAGATAAATGATATTCGCTTCTCAATTTTAAATATGATTTATAAAGCTTACTTTTCACGGCAATGGAAATTCTCAGACCATTAGTTATCCAGGGTGTAGTCTTAAATATCGCCTCTCGTTTAGATAATCTTTTCAAAGGAACATGTCTATCAATAACTTCAGATATTTTATTGTGAAAAGAGCTAAATAGATCATTAGGAAAAATCTCTTCCCATCTAAGTGACTGAGCATCAGCTATAAATTCATCTGAGTTAAAATTTGAACTAGAAATACATGCATGCAACAACCCCTCGCCTATATTCTCCAAACATTGTTTCAACATGAAGTATTCATAATTACGTCAACACTGAACGCAGGCTAGGGTTGCACGTCATGTTAGTTATGGCAACATGATAATTGTTTTTTTAATTTTTTGTACAAACCTGCAAACAAATTATAGATGAAACTTGAACACTTTTAAATACAGAACTATCAATTTCTAAAATATATGAAGTAGGTATATTGTGTTGTTTTTCATGGGCTTTATTTTAATGTAAAATTCAAAATGAAGCTCTACGTATAATTTGCTTTCCTTTTTATCATGAACTTCTACAAACGTTAATTTAACTATCGAAGAAACTTTTGCATACAATGAATAGGAAAGATTAAACAACAAGAACAAAGTCGATAGTAAATAATAAAAAGTCATACATAAACAATTGAAACAAACTTGCCTTATACTTTATGATTTCTCATACTAAATCAATTCTTATCAATGTTTATGTTTAAAAATTCATGAAAAAATGTTTTGCAATTTGCTATGTGAAATGATTTTCAAAGCTTTCTTACATGTTTTTTTTTACAGTTTTCCCTTCTTCACTCCTGGCAAACAGTCATATTTTGAGATCAGTAAGATGACCACCCATACACCGCCAATATTTGATGAACTTTAGACTTTGCTAGTGTGTTTCTTTCCCCGAGTGTAAATAGCAGAACAGAACTAGTACCCTCGCCCCCGGGCTTATGCCTGGAACGGCACTCCGCGCCGTTGGCTCAGGAATAATCCCTCTTATATGGACGATTTTTTGTATTCTTAATTTATCAATAATTAAAAAGTTTGGGAGGTGGTCAGTTATATCACACACCAGGTTACCACTAATTGTTTGGTGATCAACTGAGTTAAAATAGATGTTATCTATTAGCGTGAGCAGCACAATTTACCTTCCCTTGAGATATTATAAATGACGTCCATGTAATAGCTAGTAAACGCTTCAAGATTGCCATGTGGATGACGATAAATTATAGAACAAACTACATTGTGAGAGCTACTGTGTATCTCAAACCACAAGCATTCATAATCAATAGTTATAGAAGAAAGATCATCTCAAGAGTGATATTCAATATTTTCCCTTATGTAAGCACACACTCCACCAGCATTACTTACTATAGGCTGAGAAATAAAATTATAGCCAGCAATGGCTAGGCTGATTAGAGGTTCTCTGTTTACATTAATTTTCGTTTCAGATAGGCCTATAATGCAAAAGTTGTAATCCAGATTAGCCAATAAAATCACTAGATTGTCATGATTGGCAGAATAATTTTGTATATATGTCTCTCACAAAATTATATTAGTTATAGTACCGTACTTATCTTGACAGAATTAGTTTTTCCAAATCAGGTTGTGTAGCAACTGGCCTTGCTGGTGTATCATTGTTTTTACGCAAGTAAATTCGTCCTTGCTGTTTCCAAATAAACTTAAAGGCATTGATGCGTCTAAATTTCAGACAGTCTTTGAACAGCTCTTTGTTTCTTGGACTAAGACTTTCATATACATAAATATTATTTTTATTTTTAGATAATCTTGACAATTTAAGGTGTTTTGTTCTTCACATTTTTATGGCCTTTGCACAATTTGAATTATTCTCTCGTACATTATTAGATTTCAGCAGCCGATGTGAGACAGATGTATAATTTTCGTCTATATGTACCCCCATAAGATTGGCGACTTTGATAACAAGTTGGTTAGTATCTTCGTGAGGTTCGATTGGGAGGCCCAAGATTTCACAACAGTCGCATCGGCTATATTGATTCATAGCGTCAACATTTATAGCGAGATCGTCACTAACTTTAGAAAGTTTAAAAATTTTTGCCCTTAAATATTTGTTTTCTTGTTGTACCGAATTGTATTTGGATTCTAATTTGTCAACCCGTTTATTAACTGAGTCATATTTGCCGCTCAGAAATTGCAAGTTGTCCTTTAGTTTGTTGACTTGTTTGAACTATCGGTCTGAGCTTTTCATCAAGCTTCTTCTCTAGAATTTCTTCAAGAATTTCCTTAGTAATTTGAGACAGCTAAGTTCTCTAATTGTTAAATATTATATTATTAAGTAATTAAGTATATTAATGCCCCAATTTGAAATTGACTGCCCCAATTTGAAATTCTTTCTTCATTAATTTTAAATTCAAGCCTTGCTAATCTTGACCCTGACCTAAACATCCCAATACAATCAAACTTTAAATATTATACAACAGATGAGTTCTATAATAATACAGAAATAAGGAATTGTTCTACAACTTTTAATCACCAATTTTCTGTCATGCATTCTAATATCCGAAGTCTTTGATAGTATATAATGATATTATAATTTTTCTTTAATCGGTTTATAACCGAAACTAAGATCCTAAACACAAAAGAACAATGTGTCAATACTGATATTCCAGGTTATTCATTTCTTTCACAGCCAAGCCTTAGTAATGCAGGCGGAGCCGGGTTCTTTGTGTCTAATCAATTGAGTTTCAATGTGAGGGATGATTTCTCAGTTTCAACAGTTGATTATGAAGAATTGTGGATCGAGATCCACAGTAATATGCAACAAAATCTTCTGTGTGGTGTTATATATAGACACCCCAAAAGTAATTTCGAAAACTTTATGAACTTTCTTGACAGGAGCATTGATAAAATTAATCGAGAGAGTACGTAAACTCTGTTAGGCCGTGGGATGAGCATCCAAAAGATGCTTAGAAAACGGATTCCGTTCCACCCCTCGTGGAACTACGTAATTTTCACATGAATAAATAGATAAAAACTTACTTTATCAGAATCCGTTGCTCCCCAAGCGAAACAGGTGCACAATTGGGAGAAAAATCCCTCCAAAGTTTGATATTTTCGCGTTTGATATTGTTTTGATAGCAAAAACGCATGCGCAACACAGCCAAACTCGCACTGCGCACGCGCACAACCAACGCACATGCTTCGAAGTGGAAACATGCTCAGTTATGCAAATAAACATGGCTGAAGATATTTATAAAACTCGAATATCCTCATGTTTTATGCATTTTGAGTCTTTTGAGCGTTACGGAGCAACTTTGCAAAGTTACACGCCAAAGGCTTAAGAAATTCCTTGAGTGTAGGTCAAAATGGGCCAAACATAAATGTCAACAAGCTGAAATAGCTAAGAAATCGAACGAGAACATCGATGACGGATCTGTCAATTCATACATCGAGAAGAACTCTGACACCATAAACTTAGAATGGAACCATCATATGAAATGCTGGAAGAGATTTTGTGATGAACCGAAGATCCGTAGATAACAGAGAAAAGAAGAAAAAGGAGACCTCTAAAACTATAACTTCTATCGAAGAATCACACGTGGAAGTGGAGGCAATAGAACCAAGGCGAAAAATTAATACATGCCAATCAGTCGCAGAAGCTATAAATATAAAGGCCCAGCCTAAAAGAAACGCACATGTACTCCCAGAGATATGTAATATTTGTGGAAGAGACGCCTCATGGTTCTCACTAGACAAGGTATGGTATTTTGATAGGTATAATACTAGCGCAATGTGCACAACATTCTCAGGTTTGGTTTTAAAATATATTGAATTGTGATCAATTTAGTTTATATAGGGTAAAGTAGTTTCTATGCTCCAAACATCCAACCTTGTTATTAGCAGATATTTAGTTTAATAATTTATTTTGTTTCACACCAGGTAACTAAGAAGAGAAGAAGAACCCCACTCATGTTGGCAGAAACAATTGATGCTACAGCTGCTGAGAGAAAGAACGATCAACAGATACTCAAGCAAATCCAGGGGAAAAGACTGTGTAGCTCTGGAAATCCGCTATCACAAAGTTTGCTACTGCAATTATACAATATTTCTCACCAGAGAGACGAAGAAGCAACAAGAGTATCAGTGTACGAGAAGTCTTATGATGTGTTCTGTAAGAAAGTAATTGAGATGGAGGTCATCGGAAATAAGCAAATAAAGTATATGAAAGATTTGCTGGAGAAATTTGTTATCATTGCTAAGGACACTGAGAATGTGGATGATATAAGAAATTTTACTATAAAAATAACTACACAGCGAGATCTTGCTTACCAGGCTGTCTTGCTTAACAGGCCAGCCCGGCTTCCATATAAACAGGCCCTAAGTCTGAAAACAATGATGAGGACTTTGATGCAGAGAGCTGTACCATTGATGATGATGATGATGTGAATTCCAACACAGAAACTGAGGGAAATTCTAAAGTCAATGAGTTACAAATTCTATACAATGCTGCATTGATTATTCACCAAAAGGTGCAAGAAATACCAAAACTGAATCTTCCTTGGCCACCATTGGCATCTGATTTGACAATGGATAATATTTCAAATCCGACTATGAGGACTGGACTAGATTTCAAGTCCACACAATTTGATCACGTCCGAGGCGAATCAGAGGACTCATGAATTATTAATGATTTGAGGTGAACAATGATGGTAATGCATGTAGGTATTATCAGTGGAGTAGATCAGTATTTATTTACTTATTCGATATTCTCATTCGGATCCACAGTATTTATATTATCAACACATATATCCCTCTCATGGACAGGGTGAACAGTATGGTCATGTCTGAGAAGCTAAAATGCACCCTGGTGGAGGAGCTGAAACTCACAGCAGTAAATCTATAAGAAAAAGTCAACTAGTATGGACAAAAAAAACAGGCTGAATCGTTCCTTGTTATTCTAGATAGTGGCTAAATACCAACTTATGTCACAATATAAATATAATACATGCAATAGTTCAAATAGGAGAAGTAGAACTTTACCAGACAAAAGCCAGGACAGCTTATTGCAGAATACATGCAATCTCGTTTTGAGAATGCAAGCCCTTGGTCAGGATCCAATAAGTGGGATTTTATTGCTCTGATGAAAATCTGGGTTCAAAGATGAAAACATTTCTTTCAATTATAGATAGCTATAATGAAATTATGGATTTTATATTTCCTCCCAATTTATCTTTTTTTATCATGAATTTCGAGTTTATATAAATACCCTTAAAGCCCGGGACGAACTGGGAAACACTGTTGTCATATTATTTGTCTTTCCAATCTTTCGGTATGTCATATTGTCTTATCAGCGTCGGCAAACGGATAAAGATTGTTTCATAAAATGCTTCTGAAATCTGAATTTGGTAGGAAATAATTTGCTTTCCGGGAAGCAAATTTTGCGTCTGCAATAAAAGCCAATTAAAAATCACGAATATTTCCGCGAAATTGTTTCTTACGTTTGGCCAAGGCTTTAAGTTTAGCGAAATATTTCATTTGTTCCTTGATCGTGTGAATTGTATGCATATATATTTTTTATTCTCCGTCCTGTTTGATACAGGTGTTTTTTACCTCACACAAGTTTGTATTGAATTAGGATGTTAATATAAAGTAGAATTAAACGTTAAAACGGTATTTTGAAACAATAGCCAATGAATTGAAGTGATTTTGCATATGAGCAAATAAAATATACAATGTGTTTTTAACAATATTTAATGTGGGTGTATTTATATTACAAGGTTTGATCAGTATTCCGTGATTTTATTTTGTTGTTTTTGTGGAGGAAGTCGGGGAAACCCCCAGTGAGAATCTATTGTTATAGTCTGCGCGTGCGCAGCGCGAGATTGGCTGAGTTGCACAATCGTATTTGCTACCAAAATATATATAATGGCGGTTCGAATTTTTCGAAGCGCGAAAATATCAAACGTTGGAGGGATTTTTCTCCCAATTGTGCACCTGTTTCACTTGGGGAGCAACGGATTCTGATAAAGTAAGTTTTTATCTATTTATTCATGTGAAAATTACGTAGTTCCACGAGGGGTGCAACGGAATTGCATCTTTTGGATGCTCATCCCACGGCCTATGTGTTATTATGGGTGATTTTAATATGAATTTATTAAATATAGATTCCCATCAACCAACTGAGGAATTTCTTAATACACTGGGCACATTTTTTTACTCCTCATATTCTTCAGCCTACTTGGATAACTAATCACTCTGCTACATTAATTGACAACATATTTTTCAACTCTATTAGTCATCATACAATTAGTGGTAATTTAACATATGATTTGACTGACCATCTACCAAATTTCCTAATAATTAATAAATTTACTACACTTCCTAAACACTTTAAAATGTATAAGAGAGATTATTCCAACTATGATGAATGCAAGCTCATTAATGATCTTTTAAATCATATTAGACTGGCATGTTGAACTTCCTGAAACTGATGATGATAATACTATCTTTGGCTCTTTTTATTCTAAACTATCTAATATTATTAACAAACATATTCCACTAAAACTGATCAGTAGAAAGAAAATAAAGCATATGTCGAAACCTTGGATAACTAGTGCCATACATTTCTCTCTTAATGTCAAGAATAAATTGTCTAAAAAATATATAACAACTAGGCTATGCTCACAATAAATTAAAAGTATATCGCAACAAATTAAAAAGACTAATACTAATTAGCGAGAAACAGTATTATAGTGAATACTTTAGGTCTAATATGAGAAGTATGAAAAATATCTGGAAAGTTCCCACAACAATCGTGAATCGTGAATTAACCAATCGGAGAATCGCTACTCCACGTCATTGAAAACAACAACATATGTGAACAGAATTTGATCGCAAATTCGCGAAAATATACAGCGAAAAGACTTTTTCGATAAAATATACGAAATTTGAAATGGAAAACCCGCTAAACAGAGAGCCAAAGTAGTTTTGAAGATTCTCGACCTGAATATGTGAAGCGTTTGATCAACTTTGAAGCGAGAGATGTTGTACTTGCATGCCATGGCCTGATGAATTTCAACACTACGCATTGCTACTTGCTGAATAGCAATGTATCGATCAGAAATTTATTCATACAACTAAACCAACGTCTCAATAATTGGAAACTTACTTCAAAGTCAAAAGGTATCGTACAATGAAACTTTACAATGCGAGTATATTTGTGAAATTATGTGCAAGAATTTCTGTTCAGAATTTCCCGTGCAGGATTGTCTGATCCTGCACGGCTGTTGACCAATCAAATTGCGTGTACAATACAATATGCAATACAATATGATTTATTAGTTAATCCCCATAAGGGCTTTTCATAACTAATTTACAAAGAAGTGTAGTAATATGATATTTACATGCAATTATTTAGAACTTATGTTAAAAAGATAGATTGTCTGTAGCTAAACTAGAATTACTGTATATTACAAGGACTATTAAAAATTAATTCTGTCTATTGATTAACTCTGTTCGTACAGCCTTCTATATAATGTTTATACGTTTATTCTATATAATGTTTATTCGTACGGCCTTCTATATAATGTCTATTGATTAACTCTGTTCGTACGGCCTTATTATATAATGTTTAATACAACATATGGTTGATGAATTCTTGATGAATTTTCATGATTACTCTTTGAGTTGATCCATTGTGAATTGTGATTAATGTATTTTTTATTGAAAGTTATAAAACATTGATAGCAAAAACATTAAACTTAATTAACAAAAACATTGTGCAAGCATTTCAAGCAAACTATTGAAGAAACAAACATGGAGGTTGAACAGAGTTTGAACCTGCACAACATAAGTTACATAATCTAGAACAAAGTCAAAGAGATTTTAGAAGTTTCCTAACCATATCATTATTAACTATGCTGACATCAGTCAGACTGACTCAGACAGTCACATCACAGCAAGTGCCTTATGAGTCTTGGGTAAATAATTAGGGTTGAGGCTATGATGTAGGGAGGAATGTCGATCGTTGGAATGACCAATGACTATCTATATGTTGTTTGAAAGATGGACAAATTATGAAAAAATGGAAAAGTTGATTTCTCAATTTAAATATATATGTTAAAATACAGTACCTGAATACCTGTTGTCTATCCAAATTCAATGTTAACATTCTAGTTTCTGCAGATATTGAGTTGATTTGCCATGTCTGTGAAAAGGTTTGTTCGAATGCACATGTATGTTTGAAATGCAAAAAGCCAGTGCATGCTATTCGTGGGGAACACCCAGCAGATGTTGATGAGGGATATGGTGCTCCTGTTGTTTGCTCCAAGTGTGTTGAGAGTAAGTGTATACTTATTGATTCGTATTGTAAAATTATTCAACTAAGGAATGCCTGTAAAGAATGTCTTATCATTCTTTATAGGCAACAACAAGTGAGGAACAAAGCGAACATCATACTCTTCTGGTATGTACTAATTAAGTAATTATTAAATTCATTGAAAGCAACTGAAATCTTATTCCGGTAAGCATTTGCAACCATGTTGTTTAAACTATAGCTAATTTACATGTAATAATATACAAATTTGTTTTAGATGCAGAATGTAATGATGTTGGTCTACAAAATTCAACCGAGAAATGGTGGTTAAAGCCAGCCAAGAGAAAAAAAGATGACAAGGCAACAATACAAAAAGATGTGCAAGGAAGTTGGGGGATATGCATGACATGTTTTAAGTATGATACTCTTTTTATCACAGTTAAGGATGTGTTGGCTTTATTGCTTTTAATTGATACATTCCATATTTTAATGTATATAGGTCTGGTGAGAGTTTTGAAGTAATGAAACTGTGCAGAAGGGATAAGTCAACGGTTGACCATCACATTGAGGCACCACAAAAATTATCCAAATGTTGTTATAAAACCCTACCTTGATGAGACAACAACTGTTAAGAAAGCTTGAGAGTGTCTTGAGAATATAGCTTCTCATCAACTGAAAACATGTAAGCAGTCATGTCCTACGGTAGACAATCCTCTTCAGCACCGTGTACATCTGGAACTAGTCTTGTTCAATCAACCATTGTAGCCACAGCAAAAACAGGCAACCCATCTTCTTGTGTATTAGCTTTGGAGAAAGAATTGTCTAACAGCACAACTGGAATGTCTACTCTTCTCAGTAAAGTGGATATGCAAATCAAAGAATTTAGAGAGTTCAAAGTAGGCCCATCGGTTAAGAATGGAAATCAACCTTCATCTTCATCCTTATCATCAATTGATAAGAAAGCATGAGGAGATGTTGCTGAGATTGTTTTACACTGGCCAGAAGTGAAAAACATACTTGACCTTACTGAATTGTGCAAAAACATCAGATTCTTTCCTGGCGACATTGATCAAGGCGTTTTATCCGTAATACGCTGTGAAACATGCTTTAACTATTTAAAAAGTAAACGTATTAAGCCATCCGATAAGTTATCTCTCGCACAAGTTGCCAAAAAAGGCATTGGAGGGTAAGCTTGATAAATTTTCAGTATTAATTAGTATAATTACTTGCTACTATTCACAACTTAATTTAGCGCCATGTTTTCACCTTTTTACTTCTCTATTATATGTGTTGTTTTATCAAGATACTCTGGCTCACTCTCCACTGGGTTACCTACTACTCCAAAAAAAGCTGTGTTGTATTTGGAAGGTGGGAACAAAGAGTTCTATAAGCTAAAAAATACAGTGAAGAACCACATAACGTTGGCAGGTGGCCAGGCCCAAACGCATTATGAAGCCCTGCAGGTAGATATGGTTGACATATGTTATTCAAATCATTCGTTCTAACCATAGTTTATCATATCGTTTCAATATATTTAGTATGAATACAGGAAACGGATGGAATGTGGTGTGGCAGTTACCCAAAACCTAGTTAGCATTGCCATAACTGTTGTTAAAGCTAAGTCTGCAGCCATTCACTATGAGACAATGATTGCTGCACATGCGTTTACAGGCTCAGATGTTGGCGAGTTTGGACACAGCCGTAAGCAATTTAATGAGATTTTGCGATGTGCTGAGGTATGGTGCAACCGGGAAATTGCAAAATTTTTATGTAAACCATTACCTTCGACAAGACTTCCTCCCCATTATTACATTACATGCGATAAAACTATGCCAACCAGATTGACAAACCAAGCCGTTATGGTTTGTCCTGTTATTAATGGCAAGCGTGAAGCAATAGCAGTCAATTCATCAGAAGTGTATCATGAAGCGAACAATGAGGTGGAAGGGGATGTGAGCGGATCAACTGCCGCAGAATGGGCACGAATGGTTTATGATGAGATAAAGAAAGCATATCCTGCAATTGATGATAAAATTATCCAAGGCTCATGGACGGGAACGGTATGCGATGGAGTGTACCAACTTGACCAGTCGATATTTTTTTCTGTCTTATGGGACTCAGCGCATTTTTCTAGATTTAGCGTTTTCTGATATTTTCGAAGGAAAGATTGGGAACTCGAACGTGTTCACTAATCGTTTGGTTCAACGCACGTGTGCGCTTCACAAGATTTTCCAGCGTGGAAAATTATTGAGACATGCTATCGAAATGCTGAAGACTGATGATGACCTCGTTTTGAGATTAACGAGTCGGATGTGTAGCATGAGGTTTACTGCTTTCCAATATGACGAATTTAGAAAGTTACTTAAAAGCCTCCGTTATACATTAAGACATTTTGTGAATTTAATTTCTCTGAAGTAAAGGATTATATGATAGCAGGGGAGGATTTTCCTGAGAAAAATCGTATTTAAACACATGTAAAAAATACGATATTTTTACGTGTGAAAATATCATTTGTTGTAAAACGCATTGCCACGGACGTTTTATTGTTTTTCACTGAATTTTGTATAGGATAAACACCGAGAAGGAGGGACTTATGTCAGATAATGACCCGAGGACGCGCAGCGTCCGAGGGCATTATCTGACATAAGTCCCGACATTCTCGGTGTTTATCTTATTTAATTCTTAATTGAGGAGGTTTTCCAACAAAGTTTTGTCTGTTTCGTCTGCTTTGAACGACGATTTTCTGAGTTTTCCTTCATCTTTTTAGCTAATTAATATTCAAGGTTATTATTAAAAATAATCACCTCGGTACATGAAAGAAAACCGACTCAATTAAGAATTAAGTTTATATAATAAACAGAAAAATACATGGGTGCTTGGAAATAACAGATTTATTTCTCGTGTTGAACATGATATCTCACTTGTTCGCTGCGCTCACTCGTGAGATATCATGTTCAACACTCGAAATAAATCTGGTATTTCCGCGGACCCATATATTATTTTCTATATACTTTCTCCAGTTTGTTATGATTATTTTTGTCATATTATACAGTAGCTAACTAACTACGCTAGTTTTCTAAGACTATTTTAGTTAGCTTAATACCTAACCATATATATTAACTATATTAACTAATGTATATATATTTTTCTTTTCTTTTTTTGTCATTGGTAATTTATAAATAAATATTCTTCTTCTTGTTTTGGTGTAGTGTGCTTAGTTGAATAAGATGCTTGCGCTGTTACTCTGAGTGTATGTCCACACCGGGCAGGCTTAAAAAATATGCCTGGCCACGGTGGGAAGTGAACCTACGACCTTTGGAATGCTAGCCCAATGCTCTGCCAACTGAGCTACGCGGTCAGGTCGAGCATGTAATATTTCATAGTAACATCACAAGCACACCACACCAAAACAGCAAATATCATGGTTTTTCTCTGTGGTGTCATTGCAAAACACCCCAAAGAGAAAGCAAGAATGAAACAGATTGAGAAAAGTCACTGTTTCAATAAACGAGTACTGATAGTATGATTAAAAACTGTTCTGTAATTAACATTAGTAATAGTCAGCCAACAAAGGACTAAGAAATACTTTGATAGACATTCAGAAATATGATACTAGGCTGCACGTCAAAATACTACAAGAATAACCGGATGCCTGCATGAATGCATGAAACAGAAACACCGAAACAGTACCGAGATCTGTAATTTATACTAACCTGAAAACTGATTGCTAACCTGTGGTGTGAACGTTTATACAGAGATTATGCTAACCTGAACATGTAAAATGGTGTAAAGTACTGGATATTGCCACAGAAGTAAGTAATATTGTCATATATATGTGAATATCAATTGTCATCATATACACGTTTATAGGTATCAGTGCATGTTAAATATTAGTCTTTTACATAGTTTGATTTAATTTTAGATCGAATTGTTTTGTTTATTTCAAATATTAATACGATATACAATATCCAGTCGACATGTTTGATTCATTGACTCTGATGGACCAATCACCAAGAGCTGCTTAAAGAAATTTCGACTTTGGAAAACGACTTAAGGTGAAGGAGGTGTCTGTCACATCACTGCAAAGTCAATATGTGTACAAAGTCAGAAACATGTTGATCGAAAGCAATCCTTCAAGGTACCTTAGTGTCGGCACAGGAGGCATGTATGTGGAGAATTGGTTTCAGCTAAACAAAGATGCAAGAAAACTAAAAGTATCCTCAAAGGTAAGGTTCCTAATCTGTAACAAACGTACAGAAACTGTTAGATGAGTCAACTGACAATACTCTTAATAAGTCCGTCATAGATACAGGGAAAACAAGCGTGAGAAATCCTTACAACAATATCTGGGAACAAAAAGGTGTGCACTGGCCTGGCCCAAAAGAATCGTCAACTTCAGTGAGTACTTGCAGCCAGTCGTCGTCGCTTCCTTCAGATGATGATACATTTCTGAATATCAACGAGCAACCATCGTTGTGATCTGATGATTATGTACTTGCTTTGGGGATCAAAGAAAGTCGACCAGGAAATACACCATCATCATTGCAATTGACTTTTTCATGCAAACTGGCACGGTATTACATATAGTCAGGCAGATAGAGGATCATAATTATGGAAAACTTACCATATTGTGGGAGAATTCCATTTTGTCTTCATATTGTGCCCTGATGGCCAGTAAGTACGTTTCTGTATGTTGGCCACGTTAAAATTTCTTGTGGGCTCCTGCCAACACGTTTTTCTTCGAATGTTGTATTAAACTCTATTACAGTTAAAAAATGTGAAATTTCAAATGCATTTCTAACACAAATGACTTACATCAATAGAAAGCTAACAAAAAACTACATATAAGACATTTAAATGGATAGTTGGCATTTTCAAGCGGTTTTCGGGTTATTGCCACTTCAAATGTGAAACATAAGCCAAAATCTTGCAAAATTCCTGGGTACTAGTCTGATAACACGCATTCAACAGCTCATAACTCAAAAAGAACTTGAAAAATCCGGGTAACCCTTTAAATGTCTTATATGTAGTTTTCTGCAAGCTTTCAAATGATGTAAGTTATTTGTGTTAGAAATGTATTTGAAATTTCCCATTTTTTAACTGTAATATAGTTTAATACAACATTCGAAGAGAAACGTGTCGGCAGGAGCCCACAAGAAATTTTAACGCGGCCAACATACAGAAACGTACTTACTAGCCGTCAGGGCACAATATGAAGGCAAAATGGAATTGTCCCACGATATTGTAGCACATATTGTAGATACATAGGCTTGTGTCAATCATTTCCACATACTTACTAAGATCAAAGTTTACAGATAGAAGTTGAAGCTTTGGCAAAGAAATATATATGTAGACATTACTCAGTTATAGCCCTATAGGTGAAATCAGTCGCTAAAAACGAGGATAAAAACATGTAAACATGACTGGCAAATGCATAGAAGCATTTTTATTCCGATAGTACAACATGTATTTGGTCTGACCTGTTGCCATTTACAAACCTACGTTCACAACAATAACCTTTCAATTGTCAAATCAGAACTTTATAGAACAATATCAATAACTCGCCTAGTTAGCTAATATGATTATACAGGGTTGGTACATATCAGAGAATAAATTTTGATCCACACAAGAAGGACGAAATCTATCACTATAACTTAAAAGAACCTCCTTAAATGAGTAAAATTGCCAAATTTGGATGCAAAATGTTGTAAACACAGAAAATATAGGGCTGTGACTCAAAATTAGCTAATTTCACATGGCTATATTTTCGTATTTTACAACATTTCACAACCACACGTTGCAATTTTACTAATGATTTTAGAATGCTCTTTTGATATGATAGATTTCGTCTTTCTTGTCTAGATAAAAAACTAGTCGATAGTTAGGATAATTAATTTAACCCCGTGGATATTCGTCCGACACCGGATCTTCCTAATTCAAAGCTATTAATCCGATGCTTTAAAAGCTAACACTAAACCACTACACGGTTGCGTTGCAACAACATATTATTCTATACGCTATATGATTCGTATGCGGTGCATAAGTGAAAACCACGACGAAAAAAAAGTATAAAAAAAATAATAACATTGTGGTGCGAGCAGGAATCGATACCAGAACTTGGCACACACCATACAGCGGACCTTCCAACCTCTGAAACACCCAAACCTTGAGATCCCAATAATTTACTTGGAGAAACCTTGAGATTTCGGTCCCAAACCTTGTGATTTTCAAATTTTTCGAAAACGAAGAAACGTCAACAATAACAAATATTAGAAAGATTTAAACTGTCATAGTAAGTGTTTCTTTAGCCAAAACTAAGTCTAAACAGATGCTAAATATAGCTATAAACGAATGCAATCAATGTCAGGAAATTATCTACACTGTAACTGCATGTCACCGTCGACTGATTAACAAACAACCATATACTATATTAAATACAACAAACTGTAACAAGACAGACAAGTTCCTTAGATGGTAGGAACAGCAGTATCTTCTACTAGTCAAACTGCTCACTTTCCGCATCACTGCTGTCATTGTTTCGTTCCGCCATCTTGAACACGTGGCATGCTATCACACAGTCGTGCGTCATGAACAAACGCGTGGACACTCAATTATCAATGCGCTAGATAACGCGTATTACTAGCAACAAAAGTTTTACTATTATCTATACACTATTATACGTAAAATTTATAAGTCAAGTTGATCGAACTGAAATGAAAACAGTGATAAAGACAGACTGAACACATAAATTTGATTTCATTTTAGGTTGTTTTTTATTGAGATTGCCATTTTATTGACTTATTCAGTATTGTGAAAAACCGTGAGATTTAGAGGCTAAACTGTGAGACCGTGAGATGAGACCTTAAACCGTGAGTCTCACGGTCAAACCGTGAGAGTTGGAAGGTCTGATACAGGCTAAACCACAACACTATGGAGGATTTATTGTACAATCATCCAGATTTACAATTGTGCTAATATCATCTGTTTCTTCAATGTTTTTCAAACCCAAATTGTGCATACTATCAACAGTTTTCATTTCTTCTTTTACTTTTCTCTCTGGATTTTTGTCATCTCTGATAATCAGTGTCCATTGAAGTAATATTCCCATGGCAGAGCAAATGGCTTGTGACCTTTAATAATCAGAAGCTTCCAATTGAGCAAGGGTTTCTTGCATCTGTTTCACTTCCCTTACGAAAATTTCCTATAGGAATTCCTATAGGAAAAATTCCTATAAGAATTTGGGACAAAATTCCTATAGGAATTTTTCCTATAGGAATTCCTATAGGAAAAATTCCTATAGGAATTTTTTCTACAGGAATTCCTATAAGAATTTAATAGGAAGAATTCCTATAAGAATTCTCAAGTCTAGTCCCAAGTTATTATAGGAATTTCCTATAAGAAAATAATTTATTCTAATTTCTTATAAGATTTTTGGTATTCCTGCAGAAATTCTAGAATCTAGATGAAATAATAGTAAATGACAGACAATGTTGTTCATCACTATTAATTTTTTAATGCAAAAAATAGATATAAATTTTAATAAATACTAATTAATATTGCAAATATAAATATTAACTCATTAACGCCCAATGCGCCCGTATGCGCCCTGAGATTGACAAGTGGGTAACGGACAATGCGCCCGAATGCGCCCTGGCATGACACCTTAACTTGCGGGCATGATATTTGAGCACGTGTTTATCGGGTTGCCTAGCAACGGATACGAAAATAGAACGTGAAATTCGAGCTTTTCAACGGTGTATCATGCAAGAAAATCGGTCAGAAACTCGCAAAGTTTTTCAAGTTTAAAATCTTAGTTTTCCAAAAATAATGAATAATGGCGATTCTGTTACAAAGAAAGATTTTACAGCAAGTTTTAAAAGCAAGAAAAGAAGAGGTTTCTGAATCAACTACAACGAAAATTTGGCATGAAAGGAAAGCGAATGTATTGACGTTTTGGGGCCAAGTTTTTCTGTGAACCATGCGCGAGATTTTCAGCCAAAAAGATGAGGATTTCTCCAAACTTTATTAAAAATAGAAGTCGGAAATCACAAGAAAGATGAACACGGAACACAAGTGAGCAGATACGATTTTTTAAAGGGTATTTTTGAGTAGAAATATGCGATCAAACACTCACAAAATTCGACTGCATTAATGTTGGTTGAATCTAGTTTAAAGTTATCTTTTTAGACGAACTGTTTATGCAAATTTGGGCACAATTTCGACTGTTTTCGTAACCCCATTGTTGGTCTTCTTGTTCAAGTTGTTATTTTAGCTAAAGTATGTTTCAAACGACACCAGATTAAATTACTGTGTGCGTACGTGCCCTATTTGGCAAGAATACTTCGAGTATTAAATTACACTAAGTAAGTAGGGTACTCCAAAATCACTGTTATATCTATTTTCATCAATTTAGTCTTAAAATGACAACTCGTTTCAGACATATTGTGGTTTGAAATAAGTGTATTGAATTAATGCGCTTGCTTGCCGCGTGCGAATTCTCAAAAAGTCCGCACTTGAGTTCTAATGCTTTTAAAATGCTTTTTGTATTGGGTTTTATATCCCCATAAAACTTTAAATCGATAAGGCAGATAGTAATGTTGATCCAACCTCATTTTCTAGTAACTACATGTTGAATCAGAAGGAAAAGTTATCAAAATTTGGTCGCGACGGTTGTTTGCCGTTGTTGTCGCTTCTCTCTGAAATGGCTTCCTTTGCGGGAAGCCATGAAACTGAAGTCCCAACAAAAACATAATTTAGCCGTCCTTTCGGGCCCATTGCTCGCTTATTTATCATGAAATCGTTTCACTAGAACATTTTTAATAATGTCTATGGGAAACTTTGTAATTTTCTGAACTAAAAGTTTATGGTTTTGAGGTGTTTATTTTATAAAATAGCACGCGCGACAAAATGGCACTAATGTGGTTTCTCATGTCTGACAAACAACCAAAGATGAAAGTCCTTATTTCACCCTTTTATAGCTATGTTGAATACCTGACTATTAGGTTATCTTTTTCATTTGAGCATACAGATAACATTTCTACACAATTAGTCCTAATGAAAGCTTATTTCAAACTAAAAAAAGCGATTGTTTTTCAGAGCCAGACTTCAAAAGAGAACGCGTGTCTGACATTTTATAGCAGCCTACATTGGCGCGCAAAATAATTTTGGCTAAAAACCGTTTCTTTCCAAACAGAAACATGAGAAAATTGAGCTAAAAGGCTTACCTGATGTATGTTTAAAATGTTTTTCTCTTTATGGTGTTTTTCAGTGCTTTGAGTAGAGAAGTGAATAACTTTTGGTTTTGTCACCGCAATTTGCCTTTGAAAATGTCGGCTGTCATTGTCTGTGTTAAAAACACCTCAGAAAATTCCTATTTTCTCACCTTCCCATCCTTGGTTTATATTGAAAACAAATAGATTCTAGTACCGTATGTCCTTTTAAATATATTTGAGGTAATTAAAAACTCCAAAGATGTACAAGCACTGTGTTTTGGCTTGCACACTTTGTTGAATTTTAACACTTAGTTACTGTTCTAAATTTCATGTTGTAAACATCTTGCCCAAAAAAGCAAAGGAGTATTTTTTATAATTTTTGATCATTTTCTAATTCATATCCCAATAGATGAAAATTGGTTATAATATAGATATGTACTAATTTAGTAAATAATTTTTTTTTTGGTTTTTATATAAATATATGGAGATATTGCCCCTTTAGGTGATGAGTGACATGAAAAAAATAGTGTCACTGGTTTACAAATAAAAATTCTCATTGAAAAAACTAATGATATATATAGGTATGCAAGTTCATTTAAACTAAATTTGGTCAATCATATATTAATAATATTTGGTTGAAAAGACCAGATTTTTTCATGCAACTGTTTCTGAGATATTGCCATTTTGGTGAAAGCTCTTGAATTCAGTCACGTATTCGCCATATTGCTTGCACGTTAGGGGGGTAGAAACATTGTAACAGCTTGGGCGTTAATGAGTTAATATGAGAAATTGGTTATACTAAACATTAATAATCAATTATAGTTTTCACCTATTGTGCCAAATTAATCGTTCTACCTCAATGCAATGCCATATGATGCGTCCTACTTTATTATTTTACTCTGTCTAACTATTTTACTTTGTCTAATGCCAGACTATTTTACTCTGTCTAACTCCAGACAATTGTACTTGAATGTCAAGGGGAAATGCTGGCTCCAAATGGGTTAACTAGCCTATATTCCTATATATGTGTCTAGTTAACCCATTGAATCACATTGCGCCTTACTTTATTATTTTACTATAGTTTACTCTGTCTAACGCCAGACAATTTTACTCGTCAGAGCGCTGGCGCTTAATGGGCTAAACCATAATTGACATTTAAAGTTAAGTTTAAAACTGGCCTCAAAACATAGTCCTCAAATAAGTTCTTGTTCTTGTTTGCTTTTCTGTACTTTGCAACACTTTCCCATGTTGTTTATATTTGTCCTCATATGTTGACAATCCTCTGAGGCCTTACATCCATACTTTGTTGATAGCTGTAAAAAGACAAATACATTTATTTTATGTATACCATTCCAATGTGTTTTGTTAACGCATTAAATATGCCCAAATGCACCCAATTTATTATTTTACTCAAGTGGAGAGTCTAGGACTTTAATAGAATAAACACAGTAAAATAACAAAGTACTAAAAGTAGGGCACATTGCTTCTAAATATGCCACACAGCAGCTTTTGCAGTTAATTATTAACCTTTCAATGACCAACATTCATTTTGATGAGTAAAATAATCTGATAAATATCAAAGTACTGAAAGTGGGGATTGATTGTTAGGATGAATTGCATCTAAATGTGCTAACGCCAAATAATGCAAAATAGTCTGGTATTAACAGGGCAAAATATTGAGCTTTGAAATAGAGCACATTAGTGTGAATTTGTGAATTGGGTCTTAATGAGTTTACACAAAACACAGGGAGACAGCAAGGTAACCTATCAAAGTTGTCCACTCTCTTTCAAGTAAAATGATATGGTGTTCGACAAGGTAAAGTAAAAAAGTACTGAAAGTTGAGCACATTCATCTTACTGCGATTTCCAGTTGAGTATGGAATTGCGAAAGTTTGTTCGTCAAGTTTTGTCGTTTGAAAACAATGTTTGTGACATCATTCTATAATGTTGTTAGGCGAGCTGACAATGTTGTCAAGTAAAATACTGCCAAGTTCACGACTATAAATAGAAACTTTATTTCGTTTTGTAATGATTGACAGTTTTTAACGGTTTTTACTTGACAACATTGTGTGCTCGCGGTAACCGGTCGTTTTGCCAACGAGGCGTTTCGCCAACTGTTAGTTCGCCAACACCTTGACATTGATAATAATATGCATGGTTCAGTTTAAGTTTTAAACCACTTTCAGTTTGTTTTAAATAAAAACCTTTGACAGATTGTGCAGTTTCATTAACATTCATTTCTTTCACTGAGTAAGGACACTTAACTTCAATGCATCCGACTGGAATACCATCCTTTATGACAATTCCATCAGGGCTACAACCAAGCCATGGCCACTTGGGACTGATGACTAGTCCACAACATGTGACATAAGTATTGTCTTTTAATATTGCATCCTGGTATTTAGCAATTGCATTGCTTTCATTATCCAGGCCCCACTGTAGAGATGCAGGCACTTTTCTTTTCTCATGATCAATATGTAAAATTGATTCAATCAGTGAAGCAGGATGGTGTTTCTTTCTATGATTGATAATTTTACCAAAAACTGAAGCAGTAACCCTTTTAGATCGTTCAACATACCATCGAGGATCTTTGTTTTCTCCCGAAGTGCTCAAACACATCTCCTTAGCAGTAGATACTGTCAAACCAACTTTTGTTTTGACTGGTTCCAACTGTTCTAGGCTGTAATTTGATGGAGGGGTGTAATCATTTGGCACATTTTTAAAGATCTGATCAACCATTTGACTTGGTGGTGCTTGCGTTGGAATAGGTACAGAGCTGTTGTCTAATTTTCTTTTTCGCAACCAACTACAAGATGTCTCGAAAAGTTCACATGGCTTATAGTACGTACGTTATTTGAGGCCACAGCTTCATAAAATAGTGATGCACGGTTGGCTTTCTCAAATGCATTTGCCATAGTTTTAATTTCTTCTGTAGTCACTTTGGTGGGTTTGTTTACATCAGCTTTTTCAAATAGCATTTCTTAAATTTAACAGCTTTGTCTAGGGTCTTTGAGCTTCCAGAGGGCACACTCCATCTTTGGGGAAGTTGTGTGCATGCATCTAAGTTCCATAGGAATGTGTTTCAAATTCAGATTGACAAAGTCCAAAATAGTGTACAATAGAGCAGCTACGTGTTTGCAGCAACCTCCTTGACCAGCCTTACAAGAACACTTAGCATATTCCACTTCACCGTCAACTTGGTTTAAATGAACATAAACAGGATAGCTGACGCTCTTCATGGATGCACCAACCCGCGCTTTCACTAAGAACAACAGCTTTGAGGCTTGCACATTTGGCTTGACAAATGTACTTCTTACATATTAGAATGTTAGGGTTTGTAATCCAAGTGAGTATATATACATTTTAAGACCTAACCAGGAACGACTGCGAAAAATGCAGCACACTCAGGCCAATTAATGCTTGGCTCTTGCTTGCCTCTGCCTACGCTTGACATGTCCGCGCGAGTAGCGCGTGCGATTAAACATATCTAGTGTGTTGCCATTTGAGTGCGTTTTGGCGTTCGAATGAAACTGAAATTCAATAAATATGAGCTGTTGGATTATGTTAGACTATAGCAACCGGCAGGGATGAGCAAACTATTAGTTTTTCTTGTACAATTGGCTGCTTTATAGTATAATATATCATATGCAATATGCAGCAACCTTTGAACTTTGATATATAAAGCTCGCTATTGCGGGTTTTTATGTCTGAATTATTCAACATCGATTTGTGATTCCTCTTTAGTTTCCCGCGCACAGAAAAATATTTGAAATACAAATAAGTACTCAGAGTATGGATGGTTCAAACATTTTGGGGTGGTGATGCTTAAGAGACATATTTCTCTTAAAACTATTAAGGGCGCAATAAATGTTGTTGTTGAAATATAATATCTTTTCATATAAAGACTCAGACTTGTGTCGAATATTATGCTCAACATATAAACCAACATATGTACTTATCATATTGTACTTCTGTACATATTATTCTCTCTGTTCCTCACATATTATTTGAATGCACAACTTACTAGTTGCAAATGATTTGTTAGTCATTGTATGTATATTTGTATTTCATAATATTTTGTTTCACGGTCCGTATAATGATCATGGCGTGTGCGAATTCATCATGCCAAAAAAACGTGTTGGACTTGCCGACACATAAGACACCGTTAATGTGGGTCGTTAAAATGCAGATTTTGTCCAGAGTAGATGCAGATTTTGTCCTACAATTAGACTTGTAAGCATTGTAATCAGGAACAATTATTTTAATGCAAATTATATTGACATTGCACGAGACATTGTTGTATTCACAGCAATACTTTCATATCTGTGCCATAATCTTTAAGTTTCTAATTGCTACATTGCATTATAAGACTAAAAGGTTCCGTGATAATATTTTTGTACATATCCATGAATGTTTAGTGTGTCAGCAAGGCGTGTTTTAAAACATTAAGTTAATATCCATTATCACCGCCTATATCTTGTCACGTGACCAGTTTCCATGGAAACCAAATAGTTGAAAAATATCGGCAGTTAATTTCCAACCTCTCACCCAAAAATGAGAGCCATAGTATACTTTGTTAATTTTTAATTAATTTTTAAAGATTTTTCCTATTTTCCCACTCCTAACGAAATTGGAGCCATGCATTAATGCACCTGAGCAAGGTCCTCTGGTAGGAATTGAACCTACGGCCCTGCGATTTCGGTGCAGCGCTCTAACCAACTGAGTTACAGAGGCCAGATGTTCAGCTGTAACCATAAGTTCATGTATATATAGGTAATCGGGTGTGCGGATAAGGTAGACTTCGATGATTTGGATTCTTGCACTTCACTTGGTGGAATAATATTAGAATGTTAGGGTTTGTAATCCGAGTGAGTATATATACATTTTAAGACCCAACCAGGAATGACTGTGAAAAATGCAGCACAAGGTCCTCTGGTCGGAATTGAACCTAAAGCCCTGCAATTCCGGTGCAGCGCTCTAACCAACTAATATTGATTCCACCAAGTGAAGTGCAAGAATCCAAATCATCAAAGTCTACCTTATCACAACCCGCACACCCGATTACCTATATATACATGAACTTACGGTTACAGCTCAACAGCTGGCCTCTGTAGCTCAGTTGGTTACCGGAGCGCTGCACCGGCATCGCAGGGCCGTAGGTTCAATTCCTACCAGAGGACCTTGTGCTGCATTTTTTGCAGTCGTTCCTGGTTAGGTCTTAAAATGTATATATTCTCACTTCGATTACAAACCCTACCATTCTAATATTAATTCCACCAAGTGAAGTGCAAGAATCCAAATCATCGAAGTTGTACTTTTTACATAACCTTCGTTCCATAGTCGATAGCCTTCCTTCATATTTCGATAAGCTTTTGGAGCAATTTTATCAGGCATTGTACGGCAGTTGTTATACAGGGTGTATACAAAAAACAGAACAGATTTGAAATTGCTCTCAATTTTGCAAAAATGAATAGTTATAGGACTTAAACTAAAGCAAATTGTCTGACATTTTGTATGTTAAAAACCCAACAAATTTTCCATCCATAACTCAAAATACAATTAAAGCTTTTAAATTTTGTGCGCAAGCCATTTTAGTTTGTTGAAAAAGAAACACTCCCCTGGTTTACAAAATTTGAGTTTGAGTATTTTTTTATTATTCTACCTTATGGGTATTGAAAGAATCTCTATATATACCATAACAAAAAGTTGATACCACCAGCTGTTTTGTGAAATTGAGAACAATTCAAGTCTCTTCAGTTTTTTATATGCCCTGTATAATGGGTCATTCCAAATATGTCTTTTTGCCATATTTTGGTAGTCATATATTTTGGTAAACAAATAATTTGCCATGCATGTTCCTTGTTAAAATTTCGATGTGGCAATGATGACTCACTTATTTAAATGTTGTGTTTGTCTTTTTGCAGGATTTATTATATTTAATAATGATTCACCGAAGGTGAGTTGAATTATTAGGGAATATTCACCGAGACAAAGTCAAGGTGAATATTCCCCGATAATCACCGAGCCTGGGGCGAATAATCGTTTTAGTATTTTTACACAAATCTTTTGTGTTTTTTTTTGGGACTGAATTTATTTTAATTTTGCTTAATATTTCTTTATCAGTGATGGTTAGCTGCCATTTTTCAAATTTCAGTTTTGTTATATTTACCTGTAGGTGAATATAACAGCTTAATATATATGTCAAATTTGACCAATCAACTTGTATGATTTGTTATATCAAGTGAGGTCCTGTTGAGGCAAAGCGTAAACAAGAAATTCCCATGTGATTGTGGTGGGCAAGTGAAATGTATCATTATTTCAAAAAACACATTTTTATTGTTGGAAAATATACTTCAGAATGATTCAAATGGGCTTGCCTGCTTCCCATGTGAATCAACTTTGAAACCATGTCTGTAGAAACAACATATTAGGCAGAATTTCATCTCTTGTGAGTCCATCAGCCTGGTAAAGGGGGCCTGGCCCACATAAAATATTTTGTTCAAGTCTGAAATCCAGTGATCTTGTGTCCAGTAACAGAACACTCCAATGAATATTGTTCTTCGTTTTTTGCTGTGTGTTTTAGACGGCCAGTTTTACATTCCATTGACCAGATTGAGGTCCCACCCAAACATCGAATGCTACGAGACGTTGATGAAGTGTTCTTGTCTCAGCTTCAGTCAAATACGGAAGAAAACGCAAATGGTGTGTATGAGCCCTTGTTTCTCAATGTCAAGGATTTAAACAAAAACGATGAATTTGACAAGAACATGTTAAGTGGGTACAGATATGAAGTATTAGGTGGTACCCATAATTTTCTGGCCACAAAAGCTCTGGCTTCAAAACATCCAGATTGTGAAACCTTCAAAGGCAGATGTGCTCCTCTATTTGTTGGACTGTCTGATCAAGAAGCATTGTGGGTTGCCACCAAACACAACAAAACTGGATCATTCAGGCATGACATATCTTTTCAAGAAGAGGTAATTCAATAGTCCAGGAATTTGAATAGATAAAATTTGAAACCCTTCATTAATACGAGACAATTATTTCACAGCTATAAATTGTAACAATGTCAGGCATTTGCTGGGAACCTTTTGTTGTTGGTGTGTCATACTACGGTATGTTGTTCATACAGTACATGTCATACAACAATTCAAAAAAGATTGTCCTTATTTGCAAACCTTACACTCTAAACCTTAAACTTTAAATTCTAAGCCTGCAAAGCATAATGGGAGTATCATTTGATCAGTTTAGAAATCATACAGTATATGGGGCCCATTTCTAAGAGACATGGTAAATATATCCTTACAAGAACAATTCATTCACAAACAGCTGCACCCATTATAGTCTAGGACCTGTATATGAGTTTGTATGCATTTCATTTAGGACAGATAATCTCAACTGTTTTAGGGCAAGTTGACCATGACGGTCAACATGGTAACGCTGCCCGAACCCCAATCCGGGACGAAACGTCCGAAACTGACCACACCCAAAAACGACGCTTTCGCCATACTGCTATCTACCAAACCATAAAAGCTTTGGCTATTCTGAGGTGCTTACATGGTTCAGAGATGGTACTATTGGGGGTGGTCATTGGTAAGTGTGAAATGCCTAGCACTAATATTTCACATGAAAATGGCCATGCAATAATCATAGTTAAGAGGCTGTCTCCCTAAAAACCGACCACTCATATTTTACGTAAAAAGTAAACCCACCTAAAACTTTATGACCAGGAAGGTTTGGGCTTTTAATTACCTGAATCGGTTTTATTTTTCCCAAATATTTTATTTTTATCCAGAAATAGCGATCAATAGTCCCAGGAATCTCGGAAGCAAAATGGCGGCCGTCTAAACACGACATTTATACTAAATTCGGTTGCCGCATACGCGGAACTCTGACTTCCAATCTCAATTCCGTTTGGATATTTTTTAACAACAAGTGGTTAAAATTTATCGTTAATACTAACATCCTTGATTTCATGTATTATTTATTCAAAACTTTGCACAACGTAACCACGTCTGATCCGCCTTGTCTGTTCGGCCAACACACCACGTCGAGTAGAATTTGATATTCCCGAATCTGGATTGAAATTTCCACAATTAACTACCATAGTTGTGTTATATAATAATTAGTTGAATAATATAATATGTTATTTCGTGTGGATCTGTTTGCGTTTCTTCAACAGAATGCTGTCAATATCCATCAAATTCGGCTTAATTCACAAACGAAAATAATTGGCACTGCCAACTGTTCAAGTACTGTTGGCCAGAATAATTCAATAAAAACTTACGAAAGCACAAGTATTGTGCTTTAAAAAAGCAATGTTAAACAGTTTCAAAACTAAAAACTACTTGAAACTTCTGGGAAATCATAAATATAGAAAATATCTTGATTCTAGCGCATTGCCAACAACAAAAGACGACAGGTCACACACAGAGTTGACCATTTCTTTTAATGTTTTACATGTTCTACCTTGCAAAAAAAATGTTAACTGTTATATCGAGGCTTTATATGATCATATCAATTCTGATTTAAAAGCCTTATTTCCACAGCAACCTTACAAATCTTGGTTTCTTTCTGCAAGTTTAATAATTGGTAAGACTCAAATGAGTCAACAATAATAATATCGTAATTTCTTTCCGTCTACGCGTTTATTTTGTTCTAAAAATATTTCATTATGCTGTCAAGCCTCAAGAATATAAGGTGTAAGACTTGTTAGTACGATAACCGAAAGTGATGTAATCAAGTTACCACGTTTCTCCCAGCCCTACACACAACCCGATACACGCACGCGCACACTTTGCTTCATTCTATATTCTGGCGCCAGTTGTCATCAAAAGCCGGTTGTTCTAACCCTGGGTCCAAATAGAACTTTCCAACAGCTTGTTTATAAAATTAAATAGGTTTTCCAGAAATCTCTTATGGATCAGTAGATTTTTTTCAAAACTTTTGAAATGAACGGTCTTACAGAAATACCCTCAAAACAGCGGGTTAAAACTTAACCCATGCTGGGTCAGTGCTAATCGAGCTTTGAACAACCGGCCCATGGACTATGTTTGTTGCAATTTTATTATACTACCATTTAAACAATCGACTTCAACGTACAGTATTATAAGAACATAAATATGAAAATCAGGAGGATGAGCAGTCACATTCTCTTACTTATTCATCGCTTATATACATTTTACACATATCGCTCAATAGGCGAATGAAGGTTTAGTTGAAGTCAACTGAAATTCAAACAGTTCCCAACCCGACACTTAGAAGGGTCTGGAGAAAATATTTCACCCTCCCTGCTAATGAAAAATGTACAAGAAATTTTTGCACAGAAGAAATTTTACTTAATTAGAATGACCTACGCGGCAATCCTGTGCAAGGGCAATATACCAATTTTATTTTGCAAATAACTTTTAAAGAACAGGATTAATTTGGAAAGTTCTTACGTGATCCAACAGGAACATGGACTTGGTATAACTGTTGTATATTTTTGCACATGTCTACTCCAATCATATCGCGCGTTTTTAGTGCCGTTCGCTTGCCATTGTGTTTAGGGTAGTGACAGGATAGGCGAGATGGTCTCCACTGCTTTCCAAGAGTGAGTCGGTGCTTTGTACAGATTCACATTGCATCTATTTGTCCCTGGCGAAGATTGACTATTCCTGCCCTTAAAAGGATTAACTCTACTTCTGTTAGTGTTTCAGAAGAAAGATGGTTTAATAGTTCGAAGTTGATGTTTTATGTCACTTTGACATTCTGTCAGACGAATTAGTTCCTCGCTGCAGCAAGAGTATTCTTCTTTTCCTCCGATAAAACAACATAGCGAATACATCGTTGAATCGATAATATTAATGGGACAGAACTACGTTTGCAACAATATAATATTAGAAAAAGCATCGATGTAAAAGCTAGAAGCGCCCAGTGACGAAAGTTAATGATGACTCATATGTATGTTGATTTCAATTATGCATACCGGAAGTATAGTAACGTGATGCGGGAAAAATATATGGGAAAGTATTTAAATAATATAAGATTTTTGATAATAGTGGAAATATATAAAGCAGGAATATTCCTGGTCACTATGGAATATTCCCGGTTTTTACTACACTTTCATCATCACACATTTGTTTACCAAACTTGCAAGGTACAACGCGTAAAACATTAAACGTAATGGTTAACTGTGTGCGTGACCTGTCGTCTTTTGTTGTTGGCAATGCGCTAGAATCAAGATATTTTCTATATTTATGATTTCCCAGAAGTTTCAAGTAGTTTTTAGTTTTGAAACTATTTAACATTGCCTTTTTAAAACACAATACTTGTGCTTTCGTAAGTATTTAGCGAATTATTCTGGCCAACAGTACTTGAACAGTTGGCAGTGCCAATTATTTCCGTTTGCGAATTAAGCCGAATTTGATGGATATTGACAGCATTCTGTTGAAGAAACGAAAACAGATCCGCACGAAATAACATATTATATTATTCAACTAATTATTATATAACACAACTATGGTAGTTAATTGTGGAAATTTCAATCCAGATTCGGGAATATCAAATTGTACTTGACGTGGTGTGTTGGCCGTACAGACAAGGCGGATCAGACGTGGTTACGTTGTGCAAAGTTTTGAATAAATAATACATGAAATCAAGGATGTTAGTATTAACGATAAATTTCAACCACTTGTTGTTAAAAAATATCCAAACAGAATTGAGATTGGAAGTCAGAGTTCCGCGTATGCGGCAACCGAATTTAGTAGGAAATGTTGTGTTTAGACGGCCGCCATTTTGCTTCCGAGACCCCTGGGACTATTGATCGCTATATCTGGACAAAAATAAAATATTTGAGAAAAGTAAAACCGATTCAGGTAATTAAAAGCCCAAACCTTCCTGGTCATAAAGTTTTAGGTGGGTTTATTTTTTACGTAAAATATGAGTGGTCGGTTTTTAGGGAGACAGCCTCTTAAACGTCAATTTGTGGCTTGCAAATTCAGATAAATAGCAGTGGACTTACATTACCTTTTTCCCTGCATCTTTTGATAGAAACATAAATGGTACTTATTTAAATATATTATCACTGGTTTGGTGTAAATAGTTAATATTTTCTGACCGAAATAATAATTTGAAATGTGCCTACCTCTTGCAAATGGACGTATTTGGCCAAGTTCTCCACTTTACTCCGCTGTTTATCGGCGATCTCGTCGATATCCTACAAAACATGTAAATCATCTCAGACATAATGGTATCAAGAACATTTTAAACAAGTTTCAACTTGGTTTCAAGTAGATCATACCTGTTTAACCATCGACAAGGTAAATCCACAACTTTGTCCAAATTCGGCGCCATTTTGTCATTCCATGTCGCTTGTTAACAATTCAGCATTGTTACTCTTCCATCCAAGCCATTTCCATTCCACTAATAATAAATTTAACCCTTTATAACAGGAGGAAACTAAAAAATCTAAACAAAACATAAGAAATTCGCCATTTTATCACCCTGTAAAATTTCGCTCACGAGTCTTTCAAAACATGCCATACAAATATCGTGTGACAAAGTAACAGGGACGTGACAGGAGGGGGTGAATTATTTCACGAAGATAGAAGAAGGCTGCGTGAAATAGACTAAAAGCTAAATACAATCATACAAATGTTTGTCTTATTTCTTGTAGTGACAAATATATACATTTATTATTTATTAATATGAAAAAGTCATACAAATTAAATGTTGATTGTTGGTTTTACGGCTTTTTAATTTTACCATATTGTATGGGCTTTCATTTTTCAAGTCTCTACCCCCCCTGCAAGTCCCTGTTGCTAAACCACGCGAGATTTGTACGGAATGTTTTGAAAGACTCGTGAGCGAAATTTTACAGGGTGATAAAATGGCGAATTTCTTATGTTTTGTTTAGATTTTTTAGTT